TCCTCCCCTCATAGTCATGTTTTATTCTGTTAATCCAGTTGTTTGCTACATTCGTGTGTAAAAATTTAAAAATTTTTTTTACTTTGACATGGTAACATTTGCTTTCATGACATTCCTCACTAAGTCAACACATTCTGGAAGCACCTTCAGTTAAGTACTTGTATTATACAAATGGACCCTAACCCCAAGGGACTTGTCTTGTATGATGGCTAGAAGAAGCATGTTGCTAAAATATAAGAAAATGATGTCTTAAAAAAAAAACAAAAACAAAAAAGCAACAAACCACAGCACCTGAAATTTGTGAAGGGGCGGTAATTACCAAGAGGAATGAAGGAAATGAACATTTATTAAAGACCTATTTACTATTTGGCAAGCAATAAAAAGGCTTCCAGACATTATCTTCTTTGATCTTAGGATAACGCTGTGAGAAGTTATCATTAATCCCATTTCACTTATACAAAAATCGAGCTTAAGTAATTGTCCAATATCACACAGGGAGAGCTGAGATTGGAATTCAGTTCTGCCCAACTCCAAAGCTCATACTCTTTCTCTATTATACTGTATTACCTGTTGAAAGTGAATCAGAAAAGGCTTGATGGAGAAAGTGGCATATGAACAGATGTCTTGATGGGTAGGTAGGTTTAAGGTGGGAGTAAGAATTGCATATCCTATTCTGGTCTAATATTTTTCTCAACTGAGGAACAGGTGGGTGTTAAATCTACTGTCAAGAAATTGTTTTTGTTCTTTTGGAGACCCAGTTCTGGAGGTAGCTATTGCCATTTACAGGAAAGAAACTCCAACTAGATTTGTTCTTGTTTCCTGGCATTCTTTGGTCTGGGAAATCTATCTTCTTCCCCATCACGCCTTTGCATAGCTAGACAAGGAATAAGTCCTCCCAGTGCTAAGATTTGTCCTTTCTCTCAAACATTTTCTAGAATGGTATAAACTTTCCAAAACACCATGGTAGATATTAAGCAGTGGCTTTCAAACTTAAATTCCAAGCCATTCATATACTTTGACATTTTAGTGAGTAATAACCATCACTATCCACCCCCCCACCTTTTTTTAGAGGGACATAATAGAAATAGCAGGAAACATCGCATATAATAAGGTAAGTCTAGTTTCCTAACATATGTATGTGTCTGTGCTTATGCACTGGATTATGAAGTAAAATATATTTATCATAGTGACAGACATTTATTTAAACAGTAACAAGGTCTATTTACAAACCAAGCATGAAAGCCCCTTCCAATTGGCAAGAATGGGAGCTGGCATCAGGGGCAGGGAGCTCTTAGACAAAGCTTTCTCAAGTCTAGGAAACAAGCCTCACAGATTGCTTGCTTACAGACATGGCATAGCTGGAGAGCAGTTGAATACCTTAAGCATTTTTCTGGAAGTGAGCTGAAGAGAAATGGAGAGAAAAAAAACAAGGCAATTATCTGTCAGAGAAGCTGTAGGGAGGAGCAGGCCTACCCAGTCCACTGACACTCATTGCAAAATGTTCCTTCTTAGAAGAGAGCGATTGTGGGCTCTCTCTAATCAAAGTGTTCCTTTCCAAACAGAAACATATATTGCCTGGCCTCAAAGGATGTAATTTCTATAAAGATATGAATGGGGGAACACCTCCAATTGGCATTGTTCAGTCTTTAAAATCTTTATTTCTTCTTATTCCCTGTCTCTTGTGCAATTTTTGGTGGTTTGGAAACTGGCTGCCATCCTTGATGGGGCTTGCTATGGTACTATGTTGGGGTTCACTTTTAAGTGCTGGTGGGGGAAGGAGGAAGCTGGTACTGTGTGAGGTTGGAGTTAAACCAGCTAACCCAGACTAAGGGCAGATCACTTGAGGGGAAAGCAAATACCCCAATGTCCAGAAGTTGATAGTGTTCAGATTTGCTTTGTGTGTGCAGCAGTATGCTGCCAGATCTAAAGCAGTCCTAAGGACCCTACATTTAAAACCTATCTCAAATTCATTTTTATAGACAACAATAACAACAATGTAACTAACTTTTTAACAATCATAATAAAGTGCCAGGTGCTATACCATCATCTCATTTAACCATCACTATCACCTCAAGAAGCACTGAACATAGTAACTAACCAGCTAATAGTTATTACCCTGGTAACAATAACTATCACTTAGTGAGGGCTTACTGTGTGCTAGAAAATGCTCGGTGCTTTAGATAGGCAATAACATTTAATTCTCACAACCACCCTAATTATTATTATTATTCCTATTTTACAAATGAAGTCAGCCATAGAGATTAGATAATCTGCCTAAAAGAGTCTCATGGCTATAAATGGCAAAATTGTGGCTTGCAACCACAATCTTTATCTCCAAAGACCATATAGCTAACCATTTCATTTTCTGCCTATCCTACCTGTTTTCACTTACCAAACTTGTAAATGTGCAGTGGACATGATTTACCCTGATCAGTTCTGTGATAGTTCATTCATACGTGCTGGCATTTAGGTCATCACAGGAGTCCCTGGCTTTTGGTTAATTATTCTTCTCTTAAATTATAGTATTGATTCACTTTTTTCCTCCAAATTTGATTGCTTGTTTTTTAATGTATCTTCCTGGATAATGTTGTTAAGATGAACATGCCAGGTTTTGTTGCTTTGCTCTTTAACTATTATTCTGAAATCCTACTTTTTTAAGGCTCTCTATATTTAATTTTTTAGTACTCCCAAACATGAATCAACAGAACAAGTCAAGCTGATCCCTGTCCTGTGTAGAAGCATTAACAATTCTCACATCTATGCCCTCACTCTTTCCTATTTGATGTCCTGTTCATTGCTCTCCTTGTCCCCATATCCTATCCATTCATCAGGTCTCGGCTTAAATCCCTCCCTCCACAAACTCGAACCACTCTCAGTCCTATTGCTCATTATTTTCTCTGAACGTAAATTAGCACTTCATTCTCTCTAAACACTTAGAAGTTAAATATATGTATCTCTAGTTCTATAACTGCTGGCCTGTATGGCTCTTGAAGTAGGGGCCATTTTTTATATTAATCTTGCCTTCCCCACTCTTAGGCAGTACACTGTGATACAGCTGTTTTTTTTTTTTTTTTAAGATTTATTTATTTATGCATACAAGAGCTGGTGTACAGGCCAGAGATGCAGGGGGTGAGAGGATCCACTAGAGACAGAGTGGGGAACAGAACAGGCAGATTGACTGAAATACACTGCTGAGGGGAGCAGCGGGCAAGACAGGAGAGGTCTTCCGTGCCATGTGGGTTTCTCCCTGGCCAGCCAGGGATTGAACTTGTGCTGCAGAGGCTGCGAACTGCTTCACAGTGCGGTGCTTAACCCCTTGTGCCACCAGGGAGGCCCTGTGACACAGTTGTTAAGAGCATTAGGAGATGAAGATTACTATCTGAACCTTCTAAAACAAGATCTATGGTATCCATCCTGTTTTTCTCATAACACAGTCAGTGTAAATGAAAAACATCTTGAATAACATTAGCCTATATCCAGAGGCTAGCAGATGTCTCCCAGTAAGATGAAAATATGGAAATCTCAGTGTTTCAGATTGCCCATTTTTACATGACCTTTCATTTTATAAAGCTTAGAACAGTATCATGCTATAAAATAAATGTGAACTTAAAAAAAAAGATTTATTAATTTATTTAATTTATTTATGCATCAAAAAACTGGGGTATAGGTCAGAGGTGCGGGGGTGGGTGAGAGGATTCACCAGCAATAAAGTGGGGAGCAGAACAGGTGGATGTACTGAAATACACTGCTGAGGGGAGCAATGGGCAAGACAGGAGAGGTCTGAGCCACCATGTGGGTTAGCTCCCTGGGCGGGGATCGAACTTGTGCTGCAGTGGCTGCTGATAGCTTCATAGTGCTGAGACTTAACCCCTTGCACCACTAGGGAGGTCCCTGAATGTGAACTTTCAATAAAGAAATTGTGACTGCTTACAGCAAACAAGTCATCAATACAAAATACCAAAGAGCAGTAATAATATATGTCTATATATAGTTTCACCTATCAAAAGAGGTAATTTGTTAGGCTGAACTGGTAAAGGAACACAGCTACAATTGTGGGGGAAATGAATATAAAGCAGAGATACTAACATAATTCAAAGCAAAAGATGTGAAGTCTAACATTTATCTAGCATTTTATCAAGAGGCAATCTAAGATTGTTCCTTCAATATAACTTCATAATCGAATGTGCCACCGTAAAATGGTGACAGAACTTCTGACTTACATAGATTGCAAAATACAGTTTGAAGGCTCTTTTTTACTCTGTTTCTCAGCAGATACCAATATTATTATTCTGATCCTTGGTTTGCATCAATTTGAATGTAGCTGACAGGCTAAATATCAGGGGGGCGGGGGAAATGAAAAGAGAACTTACTATGAGAAAATTACCTTCTTTTGTACCCAAACTGGTGAAAAATGCCTCCTGACCATATTAGCAATGTATTTAGAAAGCCAGGGAGGTATGGGAGTCAAGAAAGCTTCCTCCTACCTCCAAAACAAACAATGCCAGCAATCGAAAGCATCTTGAAAACCAGTTAGGAATACTGAGCTTTACATTTTAACATAAGCAGTGGTAACTCTGACTCGTTAATGCCCCTAGTTGTGAACGGACTCAAGAAACTGTTTAATAAAGCTGCAGATATAATAGGGAACCATTTAAAAAAGATCCCAGTAAAACATTAACCAAGTGACACCGAACACTGACAGCACTGATGATCGCATTATTTAAAGCTGTTAGTGTGTAGCTATCTAGACATACCACATCGCCACACACACTTTATTTAGAACTCAGCACCGTGAAGCCATTTTCCATAAGAGGTCAATAAAATAATCTCCTGTTGATCTAGGAACTCTGGCACCGAAAGCGTGAATAACTCAAGGTAATGATGTCGTCACCAAGGGACGACAAGAATAGAACCCAAATCCCTTGACTCCCAAGCTTGTGTTTTCCACTAATTGTGCTCCTTTCTACTCATCCGAGAGCATCAAGAAGAGTAAAGCTTGGAGACGGGAGTGGACACAAATGAGCCAAGCCCGCGAGGTGGACACTGCACTGAGGGGCCTCAGGAATCACCATCACCCTTTGGCACTTTCTGTTTTGTTTGGCCGAGGAAGATGAAGGCAGCAGCGCCCACAAACCCCTGGGACCAAGAGCTGGAACTAGATACAGCCTGTTGTGGTAACTCTCCCTTCATCATTCCGGGCCTTTCCCTTTTAACCTCTCCCCTCCGGCCAGCCCTAACGCTCCCTCCACCTGGCTCCAAGGGGCACCCCCTCTCCTTCAGCTCCACTCCGCACAGCATCGCCGGGGGCCCCCAATTCCAGACAGCGCCCTCCACCGAGCGCTTCGTCCAGTACTTAGGAGAGGTGATGTGTGTGTGTGTGTGTGGGGGGGGGGTCCTAGCGCCACAAGCGTTTTCTTTAGAAAATGAGTGGTGTCAAGCATTATAAATGTGTTGCAAACTGTTGGAAACTTACGCGGAGGGAACAGGGGGGCTGGGGGGCGGGGAAGCGGGGGGCCCTCTACCAAGTCTGCTCTGCGTGGGTCTATGCGGTTCGTCACGACCAAGCAAAATTTAGACAAAGCACAGAGCCTTTCTCTCCTGCTGGGAGCTCCACACGGCTCACCCATTCCCCGGGCACCCTCCCAGTGGAGGACGCCTTCCGGAGCGCGCGTGTTTACACTTTCCCTAGACCGGGTGGAGACAGACACTGGCGGACTCGGGGGGATTCCAAACCGTTACTCCGCCCGTCGGGGTGGGGCCAGCCAACGGCCGAGCATGCGCAGTGGGCCCGGCCGCGGCTAGAGTCCCGGCGCACTACAAATCCCAGAAGGCAACGCTCCGCGGGGGCGGGAGGCCGCCTTACCTGCCGCAAGCTTATTCTCCGGCTACCACCGCTCCCCTACCCCGTTCCCGTCGGTGTCCTGTCCACAGTTAAAAAAAACTTTTTCTTGAAGCACATGAGAAGAAGCTTAGCAAACTCGACGCCGAAGCGTCTCGCGTACTCGCTCTATTTTTCCCCCGCCCGAACTATGCCTGACTTCTTCATCGGAGTAGGGCAGTGGCCGCAAGAGAAGGGAGTCCTTGGAGGCCAAAGTCAGGGCAATCCTGTCGCACTTCCGCCTCCCGGGCGCCGGAAGGCAGCGCGCACGCGCGCCGAGCGACTCCGGGGCGGTTGACTTCCGCTCCCACAGTGCCCTGCGAGCAGAATCATGGATCACACTGGTAAGGAGGCGGAGGCAGTGGGGGTCCCTGTTCCATGCCCCCTTGGCCGGCCAGGGACTGGTCGCCCAGCGGGCATAGAGGGGTTGCGCTCGCCCTACAGCAGCGGGGTGCGGCGGTGAGAAAGGACTCTCACGGGCCTCTCCCGGTGCCCGGCAAGGGCCTACTGCTTCCCGGCCTAGCCTCCGGTGTGGTACCTGCAGCCTCGGTGCCGGCAACAGCCGCTTCTTTGCTGGTTCTGCTGAGCTCGGACCTGGGACGACCGGCGGTGCCGGCCTGGGGAGGGGAGAGCGCCCACTCTTTGCCCCGCTCATCCCTCTGCTGTGCGCTACGTTAGGAGGACTGGCGGGTAGATTCCCGTCTCGGAGTCGGGGAAGCCTCATTCCGCCGGCTGTGGTTGGGCGAGAGTGGGTTGGAGACTTCCTGCTGCCCCAGTCTGCTTTGGGCGGGTGCTGCGACACTTCTTGTCGTTCTTTCTTTTCTGGTCCTTTAGGGACTAGAGGTGGGAGAATGGAGTGGAATGTGATTTTCGGAATTAAGCGCGGAGCAGCCTTTTTCCTACCTAAGCCCAAGTCTTGCCGCGCGTTTTGGCCGCTGGTCCTGATTCATCGTTTGGGGGCATTTACAAAGGAGAGCTTAAAAGCAAGACATTCCCATTCTTCTCTCCACGCAAAAATGCCTCCACTCTTGGTTGTGTATTTGATTTGTGCTTCCTTGTGGTTTTTGAATATTGCATGACTGCGCCTTGAGTTAGTGCACCGCAATTGTATCAACCATATCACAAGTGGAGGAAGTCTCTTTACTCTCTTAAGTACTAAGATGTCCTCAGCCATCAGATTCCTTAGTTATATAGTTATATATTGCATATTCCAGATATCTGTACGCCTGTTAGAGGGAAGCCAGGAATTGTTTGCAAAATATGGAATGGTATAAAAAAGACGGATTGAGTTCCCATGCGTGTGGAAGTTACGTCCTATTGGGGAAAAACAATAAACAAAAACTGAAAGACCTAAATGCTTACAGATTATGATGAGTGGTGTGGTAAAGACACATGGGAAGCATTAGAACGATCAGGGAAGCTTTTTGTGGAAAGGTAACATTTAAGCTCAGATCTGATGGAGAAAGAGAATCTAGCCATGCAATAAATAAGGAGAAAAGCATTTCCAGCAAGTACAAAGACCAAGGTAAGAAAACAGATAAGGTTAGTTGGCTGCAGCTTAGTTAGCTGCGAAGAGCCCAAAGAGGAGATTGGGAAGGAAGGCAGGAAACAGGTCCTCCAAGACTTTCAAGGCCATGGTAAAGATTTGAATTTTAAGTCTAGTACTGAACAGTAGAGAAAGATAATCTTTTCTAAAAATACAGTAAGTTGTCTGGAGAATGGTGTAAGGGGAAGAGGCTAGAGTAATAGAAAACAGACAATTTAGGAGGTGGTTGTGGAACCAAAAGGGAGGTGTGGCTTAGTGAAAAAGAGTGGGAAGGTAGTATTTTTTGTATAGAACTCATACAGGTACTGATGGATTGGTTTGGAGGTATATAAGAGAAAGGAGAGAAACCTAGGTTTCTAGTATGGACAGTAGAGCTAGTAATCTGAGCTGGGGGAAACTTGGGAGAAAAAGGACTTTTTTTTTAAGAGATGGAGGTGAGACAGGAATTTGGGTACAAGGTTTTGTATGCTGCAGTATGAAATGTATATTGAGAGATGTACAAGGGGAGATTAAAAATCAGGTGCAGAACAATGGAAAGATCTGCACTGAAAGAGAGTATCTGGGACTTAGTACCACATCACTTCAAAGCATGAGGAGAAATGAAATCATTTATAGAAAGTGAATATAAAAGAGGACCTAGATCCAGACTAGTGTTTGGAAGTTTTATAGAATTGAAATAGAGATCTTCATGTTAGAATAGCAGATCTTCTGTGTTAGCAGAGTGTTTCTCATAGAAGCCTATTATTGGGCTTGGGAGTCAAGCCTTTTTCATAGTGTAGAGGATGTTATGTTATCATACTCTAATGTAAGTGGGTGTGCGTTTTAACTTCACTCTCAAAGTTACCTAAGAAATTAAAACTCATCTTCACATGAAAATGTACGTGAATGAGCTGACCACTTAAAAAGATGCTAGTCAGTTATCCCTTCTGCTGAGAGATAGCCTCTTTTCTATTTAAGCTTCATTGTAAGTTAATATCCTTGAATTCCTATCATGAAAAGATACCAGATGCTGTAATTGATTATGATTACAGCCCTGATGGAAGATACAGATTTCCCTGAAATTCATAAATGTGAAAACTATTTAAAGTCACAAATAAAATATTGGCAAGTTAGAAAAGGCCAGGCAGTCAGTAAATGGAAGACAGGTCTTATGACAGAACAGGCATTTCAAAAGAATGATTTTAAAAGCAAGGGATTAAGAGTGGCCCTTGGGGAAATCAGTGGAACTCTTGATCTTATGTTAAGTAGAAATTACTAATTTTTATGATCAGGTTGAAAAAGTCAAACAAAATGAAGACTGTCCTGTTGTGGTCTAATAAAATTTTGCCAGAAAAGTCACTCCAGGAAATTCCCAGTTAATACTTGATTCTTTCTTTGGTCATTCTAATTATTAACGGCAACTTAAATTTTGTCAAACAACTCTTGGTTACTTCAAGATTCTAAATAAGTCTTTTAGACTATGTAACATGGAAGTGTTATTCCTTTATAAAGTGGATTCACCTTAAATAACCTGTTATCCTTAGTTCTTATTTTCTTTGTAAAATCCAAGGACTTAGGTTGTTTGGACTTTGTTTTTGCTTGGCATTTTCAAAAGGAAATGGTGCTGTATGTCCTGATATTGCATATTTGGAAGGAAATTGTGCTATATGTATTGATTTTTAATTAAAAAAAAAAACAAAAAACAAAAAACCTCAAGACAAAGCCAGAACGATGTCACTACTAAATGCTATACTTTATGATCTTAAAATCCATGAGGCAGACCACTGATTCTTGAAAGTGGCAGTAGGCACTGTAGGGAACAGAAGTGACTTCAAGGCTTCAGGGTATTGTGAAAAGCACTTGTTATAATGAAGTGCTGGTATGATCATTCACCAAGGTAAAACAGTTACACTTCTTTTAATGCCTGAAAAGACAGCATTGAACTGCCCTGCCTTTTTTAGTTCATTGATAAATCAGAAATATCATTTGAGGAAAAAAAGAAAGTTATTCTGTCATCTGTGTCTTTTGTCCGTTAAGTATTTTTGCATAGATAAGTAACTAAAGTGAAAGCAGATGAATTACATTATTTAACGTGTTACTGCATCTAGCCAAGTATTGAAAGTTGGTCATATTGGATTTATTTTAACTCATGATTTTAGCTTTTGTAATTCCTTTTCCATGAAACTTTTTTTGAGGATTAGCTTTTATAAAAGTGAAAATAGAAAGTAAACTGAAAGAAATTTAGTTAAGAACTTATTTTGAATTTTGTTCTATATATTGTTATTTACAAAGAGTGCAAATCACTGTGAATTGAACTTGTCTGTGATCCTAGAAACCTTGGAAGTTACTGCTTCAAAATTTGACTTAGTGAATTAGACAGTTTTGCTATTTCAACTGAACTGTGTTTCTGCAGAGGCAGTTCTCCAGGCTTGTTCTTTAAGTTGTCATGTTTAAAACATTACTGTTTTTCAAGAAATCTGCATTTCCTTTGTTAGGACATTTCCTTTTCTTTCTGTCTTTAATAGTAAAAATGAGTATTTTCTGTATTGTAACTTTTTCACGTACTTGAAAGAAAGGTGACTTTTGAACTTTAAATGGAATAATTTCTGTTAAATAGCCCTCCCATTACTCACTGGACTTGAATTAATTTATTTCATTGCTAATAACAAGCAGGACTTAGAAAAGTATAGGTTTTTTAGAACTATTTGAAGTAGGGAAACCTTAAAGTTTTCTATTACAGTGCAAGGGAGACTCACCTTCATTAAACTGACTTCATTTTCAAATGCATTATTTAATTTGTCATTGTCCATGTTAGCTTTGTTTCTCGTGTTTTGTGTGTGTGTGTGTGTGTTTTTTTTTTTTGTACTGCTGTAGATTCAGTTTACAAAGTTTATTGAGTGCTTATTTTGCATGCTGATCAAAATAGGGTTAGATTTCTTTTTTTCCCCAAAATATATAATTAATTCAAGACAGGTTCTTATCTTGGATTTATGAAGGGTTGTATAGTTCTTTAAACCCCTTTGAAATTATATGAAAAATTTTATTGTCCCTTTTTTTAGGGATAGGTTCTGTAACTTTTATCAACTTTTCAAAATGTTAATATATTTCAAAAGTATTGATTGCTTTAAGGGTTTATCTAAAATCAAGAAAATTAGCACTTACACTTATATCAAATAATATTTAAAGTGAGAACCCAGATTCTGTTGCTTTAATACTATGGCAGACTAATCTTCAAATAAAAACTAAAATTAATTTTTTATTCTAATATAGACAATGAGTTACAAGGCACTAATAGTTCTGGATCATTGGGTGGTCTTGATGTTCGAAGACGAATTCCTATAAAGCTCATCTCCAAACAAGGGAACAAAGCCAAAGCTGCACCTCGAACTGCAAGGACTATAAACAGGATGCCTGCAAAGGCTCCACCTGGTGATGAAGGTAATTTGTTTAAACAAAGGGGTCCAAAAGTCTTTCTGTGATACCTGACTCCACCAAATAGTCCATGTGATCTTATTTACTTGTAGCTACCTTTTAAAAAAAAAAAAATCTTTCATACTCTCCTGTTTTGTTTGGACATCACCTTTTGGCAAGTTGTACTTTTCTCGCCTGTTAGAGGTTTTCTTGTTTAGTATTCCTTCTTCCTGAGGATAATTTCTACTACATCATTATTATAGTTACTTTTTAATGTATAACTTCCCTTTTTCATGTAATTTGCAGTTGAGATTTTTGCCTTCTCAGTATGTAAAATGTACCTAATTAAAAAAATAGACTTGGGTGTTTCACTTATGGATATACTGTAACAATTTTTGTGGATTAAAAACAATGTTGCAGTACATATCCTTGTACATATAGCCTTAGTATGTGTACTGGAGATTTTATATTTTGCATCAATTTGAACATGTTAGCACTTGATGGATATTGTGCATCTTAGAATTTGACAGATATTCTAAAATGGCTCTTTAAAAAAAGTACATCAGTTTGTACCTCCACATATCAATATTGATACTTTTCAAAATTACTGTTCTGATGTAAATTTCTTTAGTTGTGAGTGGGTTGTATATCTTTTCATAATATTGGCCATTTCTTTTGCCTAGAATCAGCCTGTTTATATCATTTCCCCATTTTTTATTTAGTTGTCTTTTTCATGATTTTTAGAAGTTCCTTGTAAATTAATAAAATTGACCCTTTTATCATATATCGTGCATATTTCCATTTTATCTTTTGAACTTGCTATATAAAATTTTTTTGTAGAGAAACTGAATTCTATGCAGTCACATAATCTAATCTTTTCTGTTATGACTTCTGGGTTTTATGACATTCTTAGAAAGACTTTTACCATATTACCTGAATATAAAACAGTACTTCTATCTTACCCTTTAATACAGGGTTCCCAAATGATGACCTGTAGGCTAATTCCAGACCTAGTTTTGTAAAGAAAGTTTCGTTGGAACACAGTTATGCCCATTCCTTTCAATATTGTTTGTGACTGCTTCCACACTGTAAATGTCACAGTTGGGTAGCTGAGAGACAGAGAGCACATGGCCTACACACCCTAAAATATTTGCTTATTTGGCCTCTTTCAGAAAAAAGTATGCTTGTGCCTGCTTTGGAACATTTATGGATATGTACTTGGTTATTTAAAAAAAAAATGTGGAGTCTGACTTTATTTTTTTCTCCAAAACAGCTAGCTGTTTTTCTCAGTCTTTGAATAACTGTCTTTTCTCGCTGAGTAAGAATCCTACTCTTACTATATATTAAGGTTTGCAAGTATTTGTGTCAATTTCTAGATTTTCTATTCTGCTCTTGCTATGTTTGTGTTTCTTCTTATAGAATCAGATTGTTTTAATTATACCATATGTTATGGCTCTTTATATTGTAGTTTCTCTCCCCATTTTAAACAATTACATTTGAAGTCAAATGTTACTAATCGTAGTATAACAGTTTAGAGCTACTGCTGCAGTAGCTATAACCTCCAGTCCCCACCTTTGACTGTTTTGTTTTTTTTAATATACAAAATTGTGTAATAAGGCAAACAGTGTAAAAAGGTAAATAAAATCTCCCTTCTCAGGTACCCCCACCCCAAACCCTGACTCCCCAGTCCATACTATTTTTTAGAGGGAGTTCTGGTCTCTTAAATAGAGCAAACTGAGGCTGAAGGCACTTTTGTTATACTTTAGATTCACCTAATTTGGGGTAAAAATGGTGACTGTTTTTTTTTTTTTTTTCCCCTAGACATTAATTAAAAGTTGTGGGTGCCAGTATGCTATCTATACAAGTATGTGTGTGTCTGTATGTGTATAGTTGAATGATGGCTGTGCAGATTGAACTACTATGAAAGATGATCATGTGCTCTTAATCCTTGGCTGTTGTTTTGCTAAATGATTTTCTGCATTTTAGATAAATAAGAAAAATTTATTTTCCTTATTTTGAGATTTAGATGACACTAGCTCTTTTATAAAGTTTAAATGGTCTATTTAAGAACCAAGCATCACTCAGATGTAACTTACAAGAACACTTACTGAACTCTGCATTTGTATAGGACATAATTAGACAGCAGTACATTGAAGTATTTATGTCAGCTTCAAAAAATTCTTGCATCTCTGGGGGTGGTGGTGGGGGGGTGGGGTGTGTGTGTGTGTGTGTGTGTGTGTGTGTGTGTGTGTGTGTGTGTGTGTATTCCCATCTGTCCTTACACAGGTGATGTACTTTAGCCATATGGGTAAAGTTAAAACTTGTGTGCTTTGGCTACTCTGTTTACCAGTTCTAGGGCCAAAAGAGTTGTGAGAAGCCTGGCACCTTGGAAGGATAGATTTGTCTTCTCAGCTTTACTCTAGGTAATTGGATTCTACTAGAATCCCATCAAGACTGTTCGCTGGTTTTCTGGTTTTTTTTTTTTTTTTTTTTTTTTTTTTTTTTGTATGAGAGGATTCCCATCAACTTTTTAACTAGGTTAGAAAATTTGATCTCATTTGATCTTCATATTGTCTTGTGTTGTTCATATTGATATATGCAGCGTAGGGGAGGATACTTGTAATAGATATGACATAGTAACTGCTGTTTGATTAACCACTGAAAGGTTTTAATTGAAAGGATGCAGTATGAATATATATTAGTGTTTTTAAAATTAGTATTAGCTTAAGGTTGAAAAAGTCATGTGAAGAAAATACTGGACAATTGATTTCATTATATTCTTTTGCTAATAAAAAATGAACCTCTTGAATCGTGCTACTTTTAGAATAAGTGATGGAGAATATCTAAAAAATCTGAATAAGCATTATTATTAATATATTTTTATAATAGAATCTGTTGAATTAATAAAAGCAGTTGAATAGGAGTAAAGAAATCAGGTCTGTTTCTGGCCCTGCTTCTGTTGTTCTCTATGTTGAATTAGTATGGATCTCCATGTTGCACTGTTCTCAACTATGAAGTGAGAAAGTTGAACCAGTAGATTGTCAAGATCACTTATAATTGATGTTTTAAACTAGTCATGTTTGGAAGAAATTTGAAAGGCGTCAGAAGGACTTTCAGTGAATAGGTCTGTTTTGCTGTGTACATGTAATTCCAAAATTAAATTTGAGCTTTGAAAAGTTAATAGTTAACACTTTCTTTTCTCAGAAGGATTTGATTATAATGAAGAAGAACGATATGACTGTAAAGGTGGAGAACTGTTTGGAAATCAGCGAAGATTTCCTGGACATCTTTTTTGGGACTTTCAGGTATAACAAAAAATTGAAAAAATGTATCAGAACCATGCAGAATATATAGAGTGGTAAGAACTTTTATTGTAGCTGTGCCTTTTAGCACACACATATCATTTGTTTATTAATGCCCTGTTTCCAAAAATCAGTTGAAATGATTTTCAGTAAAGCTCAATAAAATAGTAACCATTGACACTATTTGTTAAAAAAAGCAAACTACCAGTGATGGCATAGCAATGGTGTGGAACATGAAGGAATTATGCTAAGAAACCTTTTCAAAGCTTTTATACAAAACTAGCCTTTTCATTGTATAATCTGTTGATATAAATTTTAGAAATACTTACAAAGAAAAAAATAATTATATTTCAACAGATAAACATCTTAGGTGAAAAAGATGATACGCCAGTTCATTTCTGTGACAAATGTGGATTGCCTATTAAAATCTATGGACGAATGGTAAGTAACTAAATTAAATTCCGTGTTTCTAAATGTAAATACAGTGAAGTAGGATTTAAATAGATAGGTTTATTAATTGACTAAACTGGTGACATTTTAAATGAGTATAAGAATTTTGGGATAATATTAAGAATCTAATGGAATTTTCTTCACAAATTCTTGAACTACTTGTAAATTATTGATATTTGCTAAGAAACCTAACTTCTGAAAATGAAATAATTCCTTTGGCCTATTTGACATCTGTTAGTTTACATTTATTCTAATTTATTAAGGACAGTTTTTAAAATTTAACATAAGATCAGTTATTCATTTCTGTCAGTTACAATTTTTAGTAAACAACTGAATATTATTATTAAATATTATTTAATATTTATAATTTCTGAAAATTTGAGTTCTGATCATTTTTAAAAAGTTGCAACCCACCTATAATTTTACAGTGTTTTTGGCGTAGTCTTCCTTTTAGAAAATGATAGTTTTACATTTGTGTTTGAAAAACAATTGAATTCAGTAATATATCTCTGGTGCTAGAGTGCAGGGATTGTGCCCTGTTGTGTTGCTAGATAATATAAAAAAATAACTAATGGGCTATGAGTTTTAAAATGATTTAACATCATTTTTCTGTGCCCTTCTAATTTATTTTTAGATTTTTAGACGTTCATTAAAACTACCAGGGAAAAATGCTACTGAAATGTTGGAAATATTTGTTATTTTAGTGCTTTGGAATAGTTTCAAGAGGAACAGGATAAGATGAAACAGAGTAATCTTCAGTATCTTTTCATCAGCATGAATGAAATTAATAAGGCTTATACCTCCAGAGACTGTAAGCAGTTGTGTGTATATATACATTTATTAGAGAAAGGGCCCACTTTTATCACATTCTCAAAGGACTTTGCAGCTGAACAAGATTTATTACTTTTATATAAGTAGTACGTAGCAAGTGTGAGTTTTAACAACTGTTCTCAAGTGCCGTCTGTGTCTAGGTCACTTCACTTTCTGTTATTTTTTTATGGAAATATTTTTAAATTGTTCTGGTATGCTTAACTATATTATGTCTCTCTTCAGATTCCATGCAAGCATGTATTTTGCTATGATTGTGCTATTTTACATGAAAAAAAAGGAGATAAGATGTGTCCAGGGTAAGATCATCATATTTTTAAATAATAAAGTTTATGATGTAATAATTTATAATTTGTTAAAGGTCAAAATGTGATATAAACTTACTACATGATAATCATATGTGTAGAACTAGCTAATCTTTTCTTTGTGACCCCAGAGTTGACCATAGCCATCTCCTTAGGTTGTGGTTAAGTAGTTATTAATTCACATTAATAGCACATAAAATATATGTGCTATCATAGAAAATGGTTATTTCCTTTTTTTAATGGGACACTGGAGAGAGAGAGTACAGTATAGTGATTGAAAGCGAAAACGCTGGAATCAGTTATCTTGGGTCCAAACCATGTTTTTCCATTTATTAGCTGTGTGATATACGCTGTTTGTTCCTCTATAAAATGCAGCTAATAATAGTGCCTACCTCGGTTATTGTTAGAATGAGTATATGTATGTATATTTTGCCGTATAAGTGAAATAACACGATTTTTGAGAATTGAGTTCTAATCTTTTTTAAAATGCAACCTAACTGTATTTTGGTAGTATATTATATAATGTATATTATATATTTTTTATGCATATATGTCTATTGTGGAGTAGCCAATCATTTTTTAAAATGCAATACAACCCAATTTTATAGTATTTTTGCCATATTCTCCTTTTAAAAAATGATAGTTTTAACATTTGTGTTTGAAGAAAAATGGAATTCAGCAGAATAGCTGTGAGGGTAAAGGACAAGAAGAGTGTGTGTGTGTGTGTGTGTGTGTGTGTGTGTGTGTGTAACCTAGCATATCGTAAGTACTGTATAAGTTTGTGTATTTGTATAAGACTATTACTTTGAAGTCTGATTATTACTCTTGAGTATATCTTAAAATACCATCATGGCATAGATTCAAACAAGTTATGAAGTGGAAGTCTTGATTGGTATTGAATCATAAAATCCCTGATAGAAGGCTTGAGAAAAGCTTTGAGAGAAAGTTCATTGGAATAACTGTAGGATTCCTAGATTACTTATAACCATTGTTTAAGGAAGTCCCAAGATTTGTAGTTTTTGTTGATGACAAAGGTATGGACAGTAGTAAGGGATGATTCCCTTGTAGGAATTGGCAACACTGAGAAAAGGATGATTTATTCACATGCTAGTAACAACTAATTATCATGGCATATTTTAAATTAGGCCTTTAAAGTAACAGGTTATGAAATCTGTTCTGTGAGTTTAAAGAATCTTTCCTAAAAAAAATGCTTAATTTTCCATTGCAGCGTACACTTTAGGAATCTGATTGATTCCTTAAGAAAAAGGATTTTTGATGTTATAAAACACTATGTAGAGAACACTAAAAGGTTTCCTCTTTTATGTAAGTGTTCTAATATTAGTATTTAAAAGGGAACTTAGTTTTTCAGTATGCACCTGATCTGTTCGCCCTCAGCTATTTTAGAGCATAAGTTCTAGATTAACAGGTCACATCAGGAAGTGAAGGAGGGCCACTCAAGTTAATGTAAATATTATGTATTACTGACTGCTTTTAAGTGTCTCATACCTTGTTATTGTGGAGCTATTTCTAAGCTAACAGTCACTTAGAAGAAAATAAGTGTCAAAGGTCACTGAGAGAAACGTACTAGTATCAGCAAAGATATCCACCCTTAGAGCAAGGATGGAAAAATCGACACAACTCAAAATCAAGACTACAGAACCATTTACTGTGGTGTCAAGTTACTGGCACATATTCAGTGATAATAGCCCATTGTTGACGAATCCCAGTGCTTAATTAGTGATTTAATACTGTCAACTTGTAAGTAGGGAAATGTATATACAAAAATACACATGAAGAATCACACAGAAGATTAAATTACTTCTCCAAACTTCTAGAGCCAATACCAGATCCCTCTTCTCATTCCTATTCATTCTTCTTTCTGCTATTTCCAAAAGACTCTAAGTGCACAGTGGATTAAACATAATGAGAAATAGTTAAAATTTTGACCCTCAGTCATTAAAATGTTGAGTTAAGGTAGGAGTGTATAATCTTCTTAGTAGTAAATTTGCCAGACAGTTCAGAAAGATTTCCTTTTTTGATGCTTGACAGTTAAGCTATTTATGTTGTTTTATGTTACGAAATCTGATGATTATGCTGACCGTTCTCATTTTTGTAGTCTGCACAGCATCTTCCACTTACTGTCTTCTTCGTATTAGTGCTCAGCAGATACTAACTGCTCAATAAATACTGTACAAATTTGAATTGCATGATTGTGACAGATCTATGGCTTGCTCTTTCTGGAACTTCTTGCAAATGGATGCAAAGCATAGAATTGTTTGAGAAAGTCAGATCTTGGGAAGAATAACTTCTTTTCTGAAAACATTTTATTTGATAAACTAATTTTTTTTCTTTTATTCAGAATTTTTGAGATTGATAGAAATGGTGGTGCTTAATAGTGAATAGACAACAAAGGGGGAGCGGTAAGGTTCATGTACAATAACTGTAACTTTTAGTTGTGAGTATTCGGTGTTTTCCATAGCAAACAATGGTTAAAAGTAAGCATATCTATGAAATTAAGTGCATTATTTTTATAGGCTATTTTCAGTAAATCAAATTTTTTCCCTTTTAATTTAGCTGTAGTGATCCTGTGCAGCGCATTGAGCAGTGTACACGAGGTTCTCTCTTCATGTGTAGCATTGTTCAAGGGTGCAAGAGAACGTATTTGTCTCAGAGAGACTTACAGGCTCATATCAACCACCGCCACATGAGAGCTGGAAAACCTGTTACCCGTGCTTCACTTGAAAATGTTCATCCTCCTATTGCCCCACCACCAAGTGAAATCCCTGATCGTTTTATAATGCCGCCAGACAAGCACCATATGAGCCATATTCCGCCAAAGCAGCACATCATGATGCCACCACCTCCTTTGCAACATGTGCCACATGAGCACTATAATCAGCCTCATGAGGATATCCGTGCTCCTCCAGCAGAATTGTCCATGGCTCCACCTCCACCTCGTTCGGTCAGTCAGGAAACCTTTCGTATTTCAACAAGAAAACACAGCAATTTGATAACTGTCCCTATTCAGGATGACTCAAATTCAGGTGCTAGAGAACCACCACCTCCTGCCCCAGCACCTGCTCACCATCATCCTGAATATCAGGGTCAACCAGTGGTATCGCACCCTCATCATATTATGCCTCCACAGCAACATTATGCACCACCCCCACCTCCTCCACCACCAATAAGCCATCCAATGCCACATCCTCCCCAGGCCGCAGGTACTCCTCACTTGGTTTATAGCCAAGCTCCACCTCCACCAATGACCTCTGCTCCACCACCAATAACCCCTCCCCCTGGACATATTATTGCCCAGATGCCACCTTATATGAATCATCCTCCTCCAGGACCTCCCCCACCTCAACATGGTGGTCCACCTGTAACTGCACCCCCTCCTCACCATTATAATCCTAGCTCTTTACCCCAGTTCACTGAAGATCAAGGAACTCTGAGCCCTCCATTTACACAACCAGGGGGAATGAGTCCTGGTATATGGCCTGCACCAAGAGGGCCGCCTCCTCCTCCACGAATGCAGGGTCCGCCTTCTCAGACCCCACTTCCTGGACCACATCATCCAGATCAGACAAGATATAGACCGTATTACCAATGATAATAGTATTTTGAACTGAAGAGACGATGAGGAAAAAAACTTATGTATAGTCAATCTTTTAATTAAGCTTTGACTGCTTTGGGAAGGAAATGCACCTCTTACTGAGGTGACTATAAAACACTTAGGGTCTTGTCTCTTAAAATGGTTTTAAATCTTGACCTTAGAATTGATTTCACGTACTATACTGTAGTGCAGATAAGTGGCTCAGTTGAGCACAGCTATATTTTAACAACTTTATTCCCCCAGTGTGGTAAATTGACCCAGAGGTGACCATTTGTAAAAAAAATTTGAAAAAAATATTTCATTGTTTCACTTTCCAAAGTACTGCTTTTGTTAAACCCAATGTTTAGTTTTTCTTGTGATACATTTTGTTAACCTGTGTAAAAGGATTAAATTTCAATATGGTTGTAAAAATGCTATTTTTATGTGAATTTAAGTGCAGCCACATACTGTTTTTTAAAACCATATGTTTTACCACTAATTTCCCAAAGTTACAATAAAATCCCTAAAAGTAAAAATCTACTAGATTTTACTGTAAGGCAGACTGTTAAATGGTAAAGAATTATTTCACATTTTAGGCACTGAAATTTTGAGGTATATTAGAATATAATGCACTTCACTTGGATGCCTTTTCATTTTTAGGCAACCTCAGGAGCACCAAAATACATTGGAATTCCAGTACTAGGACATATTTATGTTTGTAATCTTAAAAGGCATTACTAATTATTTAGAAAGATATGGCCAAAGTAATCAACTCTACATGCTCCATGCTGTTGAGGGATGCTATTACTCATTAATGCTTTTTTACCGAATGGTTGGAATCACATGATGCACCACACTCAATAATCTTGAATAACATTATTTTATAGAGCTGTTTAAATGGTGTTATTTAGATGACATTTGTTCTACTCTGCTCATTGTCTTAAACTAAACATTGAGAGCTGAATAGGCTTTATGTAATTCCTCATTTCATAGTAGAGTTTGTTCCTGTATTTAAGTGGGTTCTTGTTTGTTGGGTTTAAACTATTAATTTAAATGCCGTGGAGGATTTAAATACTGTATTAATGAAGGACATTCTTGTAATCACAAGCTTGCATTGCTCAGGTTTCATTACTGTGTGATAAGGGTTTTTTCTCTAACTTGAAGTATAAAAACAGTTATATCCTATTCCTTTTATTGGTTAAACAGTCTAAAACTTGGAATATTTTAGCATGGAGTCTACAGTGAAAACTACCAGATGATTTTGTATTGGAGAAAAGTAATGACAAAATTGTGAATTTCAATGCTATATAAGGTGCCTTTAGAGTCAGTTTTTGCATTATAGGGGCTTGTTACAGTCCAGCTAAGATGACCACTTACAGTTTATACAGAATTCATATGTATAAAATCATTCTTAGGATATTATTATATATCCTTTGAATAAACCCCTGTGAAGTATTTCCTCCCCTCTAAAATGGTGCATAATATAAACATGAAATGTGTAGTATGCAGATATCATTTATTAAATAGTTTGTAGTGTAAATTTAGAACATTTCTTTTTGACAAAGGGTGAACTGATTGCTAATTTACCATTTAATTCTGTCAGGTACAGGCAAAAAAATTTCTCATCTTGGCTATCGAGATACGAAGTCATCTATGACCTTAGAGCTGAAGTTAAAAGTAATATAAATGGCCATTTCAGTCTTGACTAGCCGAAAATAACTAACACAATATTTTTAAGTTAAGTGATTTTTTTCATACCTAGCAATCTGAGAGTCCAGTGTTAATGCAATATTTCTAGTGAGAAATTCTTGTTATTAGAAGCATGGGAGTGAAATAGTGTGAAATGCTGGTGGTGAATGCTTCTATCATCTTACTGTAGGTACTTGGACTGGTACAAACTTGATTCCCTTTCATGCTCCTTTCTTTGGAGATGTTAAAATATTACTGTTGAAAACTCAATACCATTCTTTGTTTCATGTAATAAGAAAATAGCCAAATTCATTCTAGAGCTTCTCGACTATGAAGAGCTCTTCTGTTTTTATTGAAATTAACTAGCGTTGAATGTGGTATGAAACCACTTAGCCTATGTATTGGACAAAAAAAAAAATAGTATCATGATAAAATTCCAACATATTGAAAGAGATTTTTAGTCTTACAGAAATGATTATTTTCGTTTAGGCTTAAGAAATACATGTTACGCAGGGAGGCAGATCAGATGAATGTGTTGTAGCGGACAAAATTTTTAAATGGTGTTAGACTTGAATTCATCCAGTTATTGTTTGAATGAGGGTGGGTGGGTAGAAGAGTAACAAAATTACTGTTAGTGTTCCTTTCCTTAAGAAAAAGATGTGAATCCCCAGCCTTATTTCAGGGAAGCCTTTGAAGCTATGATGGACATAAGTCTATATGTATGTATGTTTCATTATATTGCTCTTAAGACTACTGAGGTGGCAGTTTAATTCTTAAAAACAATAAAATGGAAGCATAAATACTATTTTGCCTAGATGAATTTTTACCTAATCATGACACATGAGAGAATGCAAAATTTCCATGTTTATGTTGTTATACCTTTTACAGTAAAATTAGACTCTTTTTGAGATTAAAACCAATAGTTGTTAATATTTCTTTAGTGGCTTGCTTGTTCAGAGTATCATATTATATTTGGGGAAGTATCAGTTGTAAAGACCATAAGAAACTATATACATTTTACCCTGTAAAAACCACTTACTCAAAATCATTGTGTAAATAACTAGATACCACTGAAATAGAAAAGATTTCAACGTTTTTAAATTCACAGTAAATAACTACTGTATGAATTACACAGAACTGCTTTAGGCTTTGTTCTAACATGCTGGAAGAGAATCTTTCATCATTTTAGAAAAGAGCCATATCCTACCTTTCATAATTTTTTTCTTTTTTGAAAAAGCCCTGTAAGTACGTGGGGAAAACCTAAAGTAAAAATATACTTTTGTAGTGGTTAGATACTAAGTTGATATGTTGATGTTAATTGAAGATTGACATAAACATACTCAAACATAATATATTCTGATTGAAATGAATTTTTCTTCACTGGCTCGTAACCTATTAAATTGTGACCTAGAAACAGCAAAATTTACTTACGACAACATATACACAAACTAATAATGCAGTACTGTGTTTAATAGAGGGGACAGTGAAGCAGTTAAATTACTTGGGAGTGGTATTAATAAAAACTGGATTTTCCAATTTTTTTTTTTTTGTTTTGGTTCATACCCCTTCAATTTTCCATATTAAGGGAAAAAATGTTAAATGTTAAAACTTTTTTGTTTTTCTCATCTGCCTATCTTTAAGGATCATCAATCTGTAAGTATTGCAGAATCACAGGACTGACATGAACGATGGTAGGTAGTGGTTTTATCTCTCACTTGGGCAAGGCTATTTGTTTTTTTAAAAATCCAGCATTTTAAAATGTTAATGTATGATGTGACCTAAGAATATCCTATTTGTACTCTAAACAGAGTTGTAAGCACCAAGTTTCATATAGCTTTATTTAAGTTCTTTTTCTATTACTGTGTCTTTAAATTGTTCTCTCTTTGTCTTCCAAAAATTTAAAAACTTCTGTTCCTTTTTACTTCCTCTTTCAAAACCTAATTTTTGTTTCAAAATTTGTCCTCATTTCAATTATACAACTAATCTTTTTGGGAAAAAATGTTAAATCTTAGAAATAAAGATAGAGATCCCTTTTGCCACTATTGCAATTAACAGTTTCCTCCCAAGGAGAAGTACTATTGTAACTTTGGTGTGGATATCTATCTATTCATTTTAGTTACAGAGCTAGCGACTAAATAGGCTCATGCTCTAGTTAAGCACTCTAATCCCATGTACTTCATGACCTATACTAATAAATATATACTGAACACTGACCATGTGGGAAATAAAGATTCATTTATTCATTCAGATATTTGTATGCTAGGTAACATTAAGCACTGGAGATGCACAAGACTCTAGAGACAGATAATGCATTTCATCAAATTATAGAACATGTTAAAAGTGTGGCAAAATCCTATGTAGGGGGCCTCCCCTGGTAGCGCAGGCGGTTGAGCACCACGCTGTGAAGCTGTCCACAGCCTCTGCAACGCCAGTTCGATCCCGGTTGGCCGGCGAGGGTCCCACATGGCGCGGCAGACCTCTCCTGTCTCACCCACTGCTCCCCTCAGCAGTGTATTTCATCAATCTGCCTGTTCTGTTCCCTGGTCTGTCTCTGGTGAATCCTCTCACCCTCCCGTGCATCTGGCCTGTACCCCAGCTCTTGTATAAATAAATAAATATTTTTTAAAAAATCCCATGTAGGGAAGAAGGTTAATAGGTTTGGAATTTAAATGGAGTGGTCAAGGTGGAACTCAGAAAAGATGACATTTGAACAAAGATTTGAGTAGGTGAGTTGTAGCCACATAGATAACATAGGGCAGAACTTGGTAGACGGGACACAGTTTTACATAGATCTTAAAGTGGCATGGCATCTGGCATATTTGAGGAAAACAGGGACAGGTGGAATGAGTGAGATAAGAGTAAGAAGAGGAGGTCAGAGAGGCAATAACAGTAGGGAGATCACAGGTCTTAGCACATCATAAAGGCTGACATTTCTCTGACATAAGAGGCCGCAGTGGTCCTGAGCAAAGTGGAATAATGTTCTTTTTGAAAAAGGATTTATTCTGGGTGTGTTGAGAAAAGACCAAGGAACAAAGACCAGTCAGGGGATGTTAATATTTTACACAAGAACTGATGATTGTAGGGATCAAATAGTGGGTGATGTGTGGAAGTATATATATTTGACATAAATATATAAATTATATAGACTATATATAAAAAGCACCAATTATATGCTAGTCAAGTGTATTAATAAATAGGGGATATAGTCCCAGCTCTTTAGCAGCTTTTATCCTAACTTACCTGGGAATTGTTAACAGTCATCCTTAAATTTTTCTCAAAAAACTTCCTACATTCTTTTGCAAAGGGTAGTGGCCCAGAAAAAATAATTACATTTAAAAATGTATTACCAAAACACACAAACACATAACCGTAATGAGAAATAGTTTAATTCTGAACATTAATTATGTTCAAATAGATTTTCTGGGTACATTTAATTGTGCAAGGCTAAATTACTGACCAGGGCAAATCTGTAGATTGTACCTATATTGTTTCTAAGGTTAGTCCTGCTGTGTAAAAGACCAGTTTTAGAAAAGGTTTTAGTTTAGGGGGGAGGTAATTTTCCTAATGACTAAGAGACTGGGCTCTGGAATTGGGCTGCCAAGGCTGATTCTGGCTCCACTATCTGCAACTATAGACTGATTATCCTCTTGGAACCTTCATTTATTTTGCTTTTCTAAAAAATGGAAGAAAACAATACGTACCTTGTGGGGGCTATTTTGAGATAAAATCGATACCAGATATATTTTTTCTAAAGGTACAATCAATAGAATTCCATGACAGATGGTTCAGCCTGACTCACTGGAAGAATGGAGTTGTCATTAACTGAGGGGAAAAGGTAATAATAGACAAATTGGGGAAATGATCAGTAGATTAGTTTTGACATGTAAAAGTCCAGATAAAGATGGCAGAAAAATGAATTAAATATTCCTTTTCTCTAGTCTTGTTTATGCAGCATAAAGTCAAACTTGGATTTAAAACATTGCATTTGCATTTTCTAAGTGGTAAGTTACTGTGTTTAAACAAGAATAGGTATCAAATGCTTAATTATTAGAAAATTATTTTAAAGATAACAACTCAACATGTGTTAGCTTCAACGTTCCTTAATTTTAGTAGTGTGTCTGTGTCTTCACAAGTCATTCTGTCCCCCAGTTGCAATATGGGGTATCCTCTCCCCTTCAATGCCTGCTCTGGTTTATAGAAATTTTATTTTTATCTTCCAACACAGTCTTTTCTTAAATTTTTACTGAATTTTCAATATTTGCTCTGAGGCAGACAAATAGATGCCCAGTCTTTGCACCAAAGCATATCTAAATTAGAGACCTAAAAGGAAAAATCATTTAAGGGCAAGGATGAATGAGCTGTGATGAGGGCACTGTATTAGAGTGCTTGATTCTGCTGTTATTTTGGTTGGCAAGAGGGTGTGGAAGGTACCTTTATTTGGGAAGATGCAGACATCAGTGATAATACTTTACATGGCTTTTGCCCCACTCCCAAGTCAAGTGATCAATTAAATAGAATTAATAGAATTTTCAGTTCTACGTTGCCCTTTATAAAGGCAGCATTCTTAACCAGAGATAGACAGGATATCATAAATAAATGTATGTGTTAGGTGTATTTTTTCCCTTGAAATTCTATAAGGTGTATGTATTCCATAGGGCTCTATAAAGTGTCCATGTCCCCAAATGTTTAAGAAACATTGCTATAAAGAGTAATGAAACAACCCCCCCACCCCCGGGGGGTGCAGCAGCCCTGGGAGGTTGTCTGCAGCCTCTGCAGTGCGGGTTCAATTCCCAGCCGGCCCGGGAGATTCAGACCTCTCCTGTCACGCCCGGTCGTCTGCTTGTTCTGCTCCCCACTCTGTCTCTGGTGAATCCTTACCCTCCCGCGCCCCTGGCCTGTGCCCCAGCTCTTGTACAAAAATAAATAAATCTTAAAAACAAAGTAATGATAGACTACTTTTTTTTTTTAAGATTTATTTATTTATACAAGCACTGGGTACAGTCAGAAGCACGGGAGGGTGAGAGAATTCACCAGAGCCAGAGCAGGGAACAGAACAGGCAGACTGATGAAATACACTGCTGAGGGGAGCAGTGGGCATGGCAGGAGGGGTCTGTTGTGCCATGTGGGACCCTCGCCGGTGGCCAGGGATTGAACTGGCGCTGCAGAGGCTGTGGGCATCTTCGCAGCCCAGCACTCAACCGCTGCGCCACCAGGGGAGGCCTGATAGGCTACTTTTTAATTAAAAGTAGCTATGTGAATAAACTTTTGTTTTACCTTTCTGTAATTGCTTTTTAAGTTCAATAGACAGTGCCCCCTCAGGAATGACACTGTAGTAGTAAAGAATGGAAGGAAATTTGACAATAATGTTTAGAGGTGAGATCTAAACCACTTGTGACAACTTTCCCCATGAAAAAATGGTTTGATATGTGTTAGAAGGCACTGAATTTTTTTCTGTTAACTATCTCGTAAAATAAGTAGACATTTGCCAAGAACAGTGCCAATGAAAAAGAAAAGGTTTGTGGAATCTCGTTCTCCACCTAAATTGAACTTGCTCTACAGCTGTTATTCTGCCCTGTGAGTGCCAGATGATGACCAGCAGAGAAGAAAGGGTCAGACTTTCTCCTGCAATCTTCTTTGCTTAAGAGCAGGAAACACCAGCTTCCCATCAGGTTTTCTCTTTAGTTTTCAACTTCTTGTGTTTTGATTTTACATCTTCCATTAGCTCATACAATTTGCTTATGTAGTTTTCATAGTGAGGTGGAAAAAAGGATTCATCTCAAAGTCTAGTTACAGTTACAAGTAAGGTATTAGAAGAACTGTGTCTGAATCTGGATAGCAGGTCGGATGCTTTAAAAAGTAGAGTGATGCGTAGGTCACCATGAAATAGGGGCAAAGGAGTCTCCCTGCAAGTTAGGAAAAAGGAGTCTCCCTGCAAGTTTCCAACCAGACCTACAGAAAGCATGTTTCAGAGAGCTAATGAGAAATTTAACAAAACAAGACACATTCAGCATACAGTTGAATTTTTAAAAATAGGGATACTTTAGTAGGAACTGTATAAATTACGAGATTCAAGGTAGTGGTGTAAATACACTGAAACACATGCATGAAAGTAGTGACTTGGATGGAAGTCTTGTCAGTGCTATAAAAATACATACAAACACTTTTCTTTTTTGATAAATCTACAAGGTATAAAATTAAAAATATTTACATAATTTTTTACTAGATATGTGAAAAATATACCATGCTAGAACAATCTTGTTCCAAAGTTTGAAACATAATTCCATCAAATAAAAATATTCTTCATACAATGTATGAACTTATCTATAACTTTCTGGGTATAAAGTTGTTCTTTACATGACGGTCAGCTAAGGGTCCTTCTGAATTATATTTTGATTAGAATTGTGTTTCAACTGGTACCTGAAAGAAGACAGAAAGTTCTTGTTTTAAAATATGTAGTTAATTTCCATCCCCTTCAGTAATCATATATTTATAAAGTCTAAGCATGGTTAATCTGAAATTAGAAATTAGAATTTGCCAGAGTCATCAACAAATTCTTTGTCTTAAATTTTTAATTATTTAATACCTCCCATGGCTGCTTGGTGAACAAAGAGCCGTGTGATAGCATATTGTTAATATAAGTGTATCTTTCAAAGGACTAATTTAACTGGAAATAGCAATACAGCGTGTTGTAGCAATATATGTCTTCATACTTGTTTTGGGGCCACAGTAACTCCAGCAGGCTATATGTCCTGGCCAGACACACCAGCACTTACTTGAATCACCACTGGTGGTCTGCCTATGACTGCTGATTTATCTTCCTTAAGTAATGCAAGCTGGCGTTAAATGTTTCTTTATTTCTTTCTCTTTTAATGAGAAAACTGAAGTACTGGATGGATGGTGCTGACTACTTTTTGTTAGTTGGGTCTAAAGTTTTGCTTATACATCAGGTTTAAATTATGTTTAATATCCTTTAAAGTTTGGTGACAATTCTGAATCCACCTACTGGGGAAAGGATTTCTGGTAAGGTTTTCTTAATAGGGAGATCAGGCCAGGTGCCAGGCTTGGTTTCTCTGGAAATCACCCGTGGGAAACAGTCATCACCATGCTGCTCTTCTAGACTCCTTTCATCTCAGATTTGTCTACCTTTTTGATGTTTAATAAAGAGCACTGAACTTTTCATAATCTCCTCTCTGACATAATTAATAATGGTCCGGGGTTATCTTAACATCATATATTTCCTCCTCATTTCTAATCTACATTCTGTTTTGCTATGCTTATATATTTCTTCAACTAAGAGAAATGCCACCAGCCACTTCTCCTACTTGCAGGCAATCCTTACATTCTTTCTCAGGACCCTCAGTTCCATTAGTCTTTCAACAAAGGATAGAGGCAGTATAGTAGAGGGACTGGGGTACAGGTCTATGTCACAGAACAGATCTTCAAATCCTGTTGCTGTGACTGTAAGTAAATTAATTAATCTCCCTGAGCCCTTTCTCATTTCTTCACTTGTGAAGTAAGGTTTCTTCTTTGTGTATTGTATTGAGATAATGAATGTAGTGCACCAACCATGTACCTGGCCTACAGCAGATACTGTATCTGATTTGTGATTCTGCCTTTTCTGAATGCACCGAATATTCAAGAAATGAATGTTCTCAAGTGGAACCAGCCAATTAAATGATGACTTTGCAACTCTTCCCGGAAGGACAGAAAGGAACCTCACTTTCATCGCTAGGGTAGGTAGGCACAGTGCTACGAGCTTTCCATGGAGCTGGGAGTTAGGAAGTGAGTATTAACTCCTCAGCTCCATCACTAATTCATCTGTAAATGGAACCAGCAATCCATTCCTGCCTTGATGATTATTATAAGACCAGAATACAATCTGGTTTGTAGGAACTTTGGAAACAAAATGTTCTCTCTCTGTATGCTCAATGTCACATTCATAGAGATCTAGTGTCACTATTTTCCATCCTTCTTTGTGCCAGTCTGAGTTTATTCTTCCTGAACGTCTCAGTGAGATTCACTGACACTGCTTCATTTTCAAGGACTTTTCTGCAGCATGCCTGGAGAACACTCATTACTCTTTAGATTTTTGTTGTGATGTCTGATAAAGATACACCTGTTGAAAAATCTTACCTGACATTCCCGATTACGTAATCCTCCGTTTGTATTTATGGTAAAATCGGTATTTTTTTCTTTTTCCTGAGAAAAACAGGATGAAATTATGGATTAGGAAAACAATTTTTTATGTTGAAAAATAATGGGAAATTTGAGAAGAGCAGATGGTGACACAAATGTAAAAGATCACTCAAGAACTGGTACCTGACTGGAATTAAATTTTGAAGTATTGTAATCCTTCTTTATCAAAATATGCAATACGGCATCATGGATTGTTAAGAAAAATATTGAGTCCTTCACTTCATCATCAAAAAATTCACACCGTTTAAGCTTCTCAATGAAGTCATCTGAAGAGAAAAAAGAAAGAATAACACTTAGGAAGAAATAAATGGCTATGATTTCTCCTTGAAGCTGGTGACCTGAACTTCCCTGTGTAAATGGGCATTTCATAGATGTTTCATTAAATCTTTGTGGGTTGCAACATTACAAAACCAGAGTACCATTAGTATAGCATTTTCAAGAGCTAAAGAATATCTTTCTAATGAAAATATATAACCAATGTCCTCAAGTAAAAAGGAAAGAAGAGATTCAAGTGAGAAAAACTTTAGTAATCCCTAGATGAAAAATCAGTCCAGTTCTTTAGGCAGGAAGCTAGTGAGTTAATCTCCCTACTTAATGATTAAAGCATTAATTGTGACTAATTATTAAAAAATGGGATTCTGCCAAAATAGAACATTTGCTCATCCCAGTGATAATGCTGTAGTTCTCAATTTCCAGACCTTTCATTTACCAATTCCTTTCTGTAGTCCATTTCCCCAAAGTTGCTGGGTTCCATCAGAAAATGTCTTCCTCAGCACCTTTGAGGAACCCTATTCTTGAAGGCACTAGCCAGCACTTGTTTGCACAGATCATTCAACTGTGTCTGGGTAATATGAAGGATCAAAGGATTGATTAAACATCATCCTCAAGAAAAAGAGAATATATAAAGTACAGTAATGAAAGGGAAAGAGTTGCAGAATAATGAAGGCGGGGTGCAATCTGATCTTTTTCTTTAGTGTTTTCTTAGTTTTAAAAACAATGCCCAACACATAGTAGGTTCTCACGTTTTTGTTGCATAAATCATAGAGGTGCAGATCATGTGCTATGAAAATTCAGGGAATGTAGGGTAAGGATAGTTTTCTTAGTACGTACCTAGGGAAATTTGACCAAACAGGTACTAGTTAAAAGAATGTCTATGATTTGTAGAAAGATGGAGGAAGTGCAGGCAGAAAAGTGTGGAGATGGGAAAGTCTGTTTACAAGCAAGCTTTAAAATTGTCAGAACCTAGCAGTGGCTGAGGCCACTGTGGTTGCCAGAACCTGGGATAGACTGGGTGGCATGTAATGGGAAGGAAGGTGATTAATTAAGTCCTTAATTAAGAGGGGTACAAAAGACACTGCCACAAGATCTGGGGTGATGGGGGAAGGAGTAAAATTGTTTAGTAGATTAAGGGGTTACTGAGAGCAAGAGGATATTTTTTTTATTTAATTTAACGCCTTGAAATGAAGAGATAGCTGTAGATTTTAGGGTTAGGAGCCAGAAGAGAGGGAAAATTAAATATGCTAATTTCACATCTTCCTCAGGATCTGTGTACTTGTGAAACTTGTCCCTAAATATTTTCCCCAAGATACTGTCAAGGTTGACTTCCTCACATCATTTCAGTCTCTGCTCAGATGTTACACCACTGGACATCCTTGATTGCCTGTCTAATTGCTCCATGTCTCTCTTTTTTTTTTTTTTAACTTTTTTTAAGATTTATTTTATATGCAATAGCTGGAGTATAGGCCAGAGGTGTGGGAGGGTGAGAGGATTCACCAGAGACAGAGTGGGGAGCATAACAGGCAGACAGACTGAAAGCACTGCTGAGGGGAGCAGCAGGCGAGGCAGGAGAGGTCTGCCGGGCCATGTGGGCATCTCCCTGTCCGGCTGGGAATTGAACCCGTGCTGCAGAGGCTGCGGACAGCTTCACAGTGCTGTGCTCAACCTGCTGCGCCACTGGGGAGGCCCTGCACCATGTCTCTTAACTCTGCTGTTTCTTCACAACACTTATCATTACATAAAATATGTCTTTATTTGCTCATAATGTGACTTGCCACTGGGCCATAAATTTCATGAGTGCAGGAGTTTGTTTTATTCACTGCTGTATCCGCAGCACCCAGAACACAGTGCTCTGTGAGCCTTTATTGAATGTCTTTCATGTCCTGGGAATTTGATAAGAGATAGGGAATAAGAAGGCAAACAAGATCAGTTCCTTCCCTGGAAGAGAGTCTAGTGGGGACACAGACACAGCATTGAAGAATAATACGAGGCGTATGTATTCTGCAGAGGCAAGCAGTTGAAGGACCATAGTGCTCTGCCTGGGGAAGCAAGAAGTTCTCATGGTTATTGAAGGAGTTTTCTCATCAGAATATAGGGTGGGAGGACATTCTAGGTATGGACAAGGGTACTAGATGGAAAGTTCTTTCCAAGGGCCAAGATAAGAAATGATAAGGATCTGAATTAGGTTGTAGAAATGGGGAGGAATAGACTGATTCAAGAGCACATAGTTTTAGGTCTTAATGCCTCACCACATATAGAGGCAAAGGGAAAAGGAGAAATTAAAGATGACTCTGAGAGTGAATGGTGGTGCAGTGATTGAGATAGGAAAGGTGGAGGAGGAGGAGTTTGGAGGAAGAGAAGGCATTTAGTTTTGAACATTTGTATCCAAAGAGCCTGGGGTACATCCAGACAGTTGAGTACATGGGTCTGCACCACAGAAGAAAGGTCTGGAGGTGTAGTTTGGGGCTTTATTAGCATGAAGATGTACTTGAAATTCATAAGTAATAGATTGACTAGAAAAAGCCCATGGAATTAGAGCTAAATCTTGGGGAAGACCAGCTCTCATGGAGTATAAAGAAACAAAGCAAAGGAACAGACAAAACCAAAACAAATCCTAGAAATCTGACTGTAGAGTTGAAGCCCCAGAGGGGAGACAGGGAGGTGAGGAAGAAAGGGAGAGAGGGCCCAGTGGGCTATGGTAAAGGATTATTGGTACTTTAGTGGTGGGCATTGTGTAGTAATATACACAGTGTTGTAAACCAGTTACCTCAAAAACAAACAAACAGAAAAGTCTTGTGGGGTGGGATTGGGAGGCAGAAGCAGAGACAAATGCTGAAGTGAAAATGAGGCTGGGATGGAGGCAATTTGTGGTTAACAGTCTGGACATCACCGATGACCTTGACAAGGGCAGCTTCAGCAGCAAGGTGAAGCAGAAATGAGGCTGTTATGGGCTAAGTAATCAAAAAAGCCAAGAAAGAGAAAAAACAAGTCTACTCCTTTGGGAATATCAAGGTAAAAATGATTACATATTCACTTTTTTATTGCCTAGTTAAATGTGGGTTCAAATTTAAAACTAATTGAACTACATATTGATACAACTATGAAAATGATATATTCCTGGGGATTTCTATTGACTCAGACACAAAGTGGATTTCCTTTTTGGTCTTCATAAAAAATATCTGTTCTTTGGAAAGGTAGACTCAGTTGAGAATTGGCAGTGACCCCCAAAGTAGTTGTCAGAACATGAAAGTACAGATAAAACAACTTACCATCAGCTCCAACAATGTACACATCTACCTTGATCCTGATAAATTCTTGCAACATCTATTAAAAAGAAAATACATTTTCACATAACAAAATACTCTAAATTTAAAAACAAGACTGACAGAAAGAATACATCCAAAGAGCTCTCTCCTCTTCACTAAGAAGTTAAAAAGGATCATTTTTGAGGGAAGTATGATGGAAAAAAGTTCTGCCTTAACTCACAAGATGAACTCTGATTTAATATTGAAACATTGTTTTCTGTGGGATGATCCTGACTAGAGCTTTCTATCTACATAAAAAAAGAAAACCCGTGGTTTATAAGTTGTTCATTTTTCTTGTCCACAGTAATGACGTAATCCATTTTCCTACTCTCCAGGCTCAGAACAAATACTAGTAGCAAGATGAGTAAGGACATAGAGGTTAAAAAAAAAAAGGCAGGGCCTCCCCGGTGGCGCAGCGGTTGAGCGCTGGGTTGCGAAGCTGCCTGCAGCCTCTGCAGCGCCGGTTCAATCCCCGGCTGCTCCCCGGCCACTGGAGGAGGGTCCCACATGGCGCAGACCTCTCCTGCCGCCCGCTGCTCCCCTCAGCAGTGTACTTAGGTCCTTCTGCCTGCACTGCTCCCCGCTCTGGCTCTGGTGGATTCCCTCACCCCCCCCCCGCGCTTCTGACTGTACCCAGTGCTTGTATAAATAAATAAAAATAAATCTTTAAAAAAAAAAAGCAGCTTGTACCTTTGACAATTAAAGTAACCATTAATATCATTATTATCATTAATAAATATTTTTCTACTACTCACTGAACCAAGAATCAAGGCTTTAAAAAACGTAAGGAAGAGTCCCTGTTTTTTGCACTTCATTCCTAGGGTCAGAGAAGTATATTTTGTTTGTGCATTTATTTTTGCCCAAAGCCAAAAAGAAAGAAAAAGTATGCAGTATTGAGAGTTATTATGTGATGCTAAACTTTTTTAAAAGATAAATTTGAAGGAAATAATGTCAATCTTATTTTTTAATCTTATACACAGTTTACCTATACTTAATAGATGTTATCTTAGATTCTGATGTAGGCAGATTTCTGTGAAAAACCAAGTCAAAGGGGGCAATGTGGAATGGCTTATATTTTATTTACATCTGTTCCTGCATTTCTCTTAGAAACTAAGCTACTATTACTATGGAAACAGTTACTATAACTAGGGAAAGAAGACAGATTGAAACAAGATTGTTTCAGTCCTGTTTTAAATCCCATGTGACATTTATTTTCTCATGTATATGTGCTTTTATTGGGAAACATTATTGTATAGCCAAGTGAAATTTCATCAGCTTATAATGGATGAGGATAAAGCGGATCCACTAGTCCACTTTTCCAAGACCTTTCCAAATCTCTGATGCCAGGACAGTTTAGGCACAATGCCTGCAAGCATGCCAGGACCCTGTCGAGTTGGAATTTGAGAGAAGTGTGAGATAGGGTTAGGTTCTGCAAACATTAGGTATGTAGGTTTGGTTGCCTTCAAAATTATGGGAAATGCACTTATAAAGAGTTCACTGAACACAACCCACCCTCTCCAAGGAAGAGCCTAAGATTATAATTTACTTCCACTTAAGTGTATGTTATCTAAAGGCACATCCTTCCACAAATATATATATATATATATATATATATATATATATATATATATATATATAGCCTCTAATCACTGATTGGCATTTTCATTAAGAAAAAAGTAATTACCGTTTTGAGACCCCTCATTGAAGAAACGTCAAGAAATGACACTGCTGAAAAATCAAGAATAAGGCTATGCACGCTGACTTTAGGGACCTCGATGTTGAGAGGAAGGTCAGCATTCCAGTCTATCTGGAAAGGAAGGTCTGTGGTGTTGATTGGCTGATCCAGTTCTTCTATATGATTGTTGTCCAGCTCATCATCAGAATCTTTAAAACTATCAACCGTGCATATAAATCCTTTCTGTGAGAGAAGTTAATACACATTATAAATTTGGGCCTCCCCCATGGTGCAGCGGGTTGAGCAGCACTGCGAAGCTGTCTGCAATCTCTGTAGCACGGGTTCGATTCCCGACCGGCCAGGGAGCCACCCACATGGCGCAGCAGACCTCTTCTGTCTCCCTGCTGCTCCCCTCAGCAGTGTATTTCAGTCAGTCTGCCTGTTCTGTTCCCTGCTCTGTCTCTGGTGAATCCTCTCACCCTCCCACACATCTGGCCTGTACCCTGGTTCTTGTATAAATAAATAAATCTTTTAAAAAAAAAGTATAAAAAAATTTTTTAAAAAAAACATAATAAATCTGACCAAGATAAATGTTGTTAAAGCTAACGATCACCAGTGAGTTTCTGAAGCCCAGGCTTCAAGTTGGGCGAAACAAATGGGATTATAAACTCTTTTTCTTTGGCAAATAAAATTTTTCCCAAAAGAATGAAAATTTTAAGGAGACCCTCAAAAATGCCATTTAAAAATATGACATTAATTGGCATACTAGATATGGTGTTTATCTGGCATTTCACTTAAGGGAATGGAATCAACACCTTGAACTACATTAAGCTTTTAGTTATAATACACAGAAATGTGGTAAAAAAAAAAAACAAAAAACTACTTACTGGTGTCACTTGTAGCAGGCCTTTCTTCTGCAGTTTTCGGATTTTTTTCAAAGCTTTGTTACGCTTGCGTAGAACTCGAAGTGGACTAAAGCCAACCTGAAAAATCCATTGCTGTGTCACAAGAGTGCTGAGTATTCTGCTGCTCATAGAACATAATTCTAATAACTCTAAATGGGTTGGTTTGAGGGATTGGGGCACATCAAGAAGATATTTTTTATAAAATTGTAAAGTGGTTTAAACAATATTGTGGCAGGCCGATGACATGGCCAGCTTGTATGCAGTTTTTGACATTCAAAAACTTGTCCTCTCCAAGGCTTATGCATATATTATCCATGAATAGGTCTAAATGCTTTGTGTGTGTGTGTGTGTGTGTGTGTGTGTGTGTGTGTATGTGGTGGGAGGATCCTCGCCGGTGGCGGGGATTGAACTGGCGGGCAGCCTCGCAACCCAGCGTTCAACCACTGCGCCACCAGGGGAGGCCCAGTCTAAATGCTTTTTGAATCTGTTTAATGCAGGTGACAAACATAATGAGTATTCTGCTTTTATGTAATTTTTATCCAATTAACATTTATATGATTACATTTAATAGTACCTCTTTATGTAATTGTTTTATGACTTTAGTACTAAATCTGAGAGTGACCTCATTTCCCCCTTTTCAAAACAAATGCATTCTTACTGTAACATTACTTAGCTCCAGAGTAATAAGGAGGATCAAATTATGTAATAAAATAATCTTTGCCCCAAAAATGTAGTTGTATGAGAAGATCCTAGATTAGGTAAAAAGGTTATTTTTTTTTACAAAAAATAATATTTTTTTACAAAAAAAAATAATAGTTGGGTAGAAAAACATTTGATGAATACCAACCTAATGAAAATAGGACTTAAGCAAGAGTAGACCAAAAGGCATGTTCAAGAGTAAGTGCTGAATTTTGTTTCTTAATCTTAAAGTCTGCCTCTTTGCCACCTCTCCTGTAGATCAGGGACACTCAGTTGTTATTTAGCATGAAATATTCATTTGTATTATATTTATTATCATATTATAAATATTCATCTGATATCCTGAATCTCTTCAATAATGAAATGAAATATTAAATATTTCCGTGTCTGAGTTTGATGCCCACAGAAATCATCAAAAAATAGCTACTAAAAACTAGGGCCTCCATGGTGGTGCAAGGGGTTAAGATGCAACCTATGAAGCTATCCGCAGCCACTGTGGCACGAGTTCAATCCCCGGCCAGGGAGCTACCCACATGGCACAGCAGACCTCTCCTGACTTGCCCGCTGCTCCCCTCAGTAGTGTATTTCAGTAGATCCGCCTGTTCTGTTTCCCACTCTGTCTCTGATGAATCCTCTTATCCTCCCCACACCTCTGGCCTGTACCCCAGTTCTTGTATGCATAAATAAATAAATCTTTAAAAATATATATCTACTAAAAACCAATAGCATAAAATCTTGTGGTAAGTCATTTTGCTCCACAACTGAAATAAATAAAATACAACTTTATATTGGATTTCACCCAAAGATTCTTATTTCCCAACATGTCAATGGATCCTTATAAGTCAGTTTCACCTATTCTGGGATGTGGGACACCAAAAAGCTAACGCAACCCAACTTCATTGTATGTGAAACCAACGACCCTACTATTAGAGCACAAACATTTCATTCCCAGATATTCAGTGAAAGTACAAACAAAAATTGAATAACCCCAAACCTTACAGCATCAATAAGTTTCTGCTTGAAGAAATTAATGTTTGCAAAATAGATAGGAGATGGGCATCTGAAAATTTTCACTCCTTCTGGCTCATAAATCTGTAAGGCAGAGAAGTTATATTAGTTGGTGCCCACTAACTTCATGTTACTATTATTTAGGATGTGAAAGTAAAAAATGAGTGTTTCTTACATCAGAATAATCCTTTTTATTCTTATAGATGTTGCTCCTTCCAATCATAGCCAGTGAGCTGCATTTTGGACTGCAGGGAAAAATCAACACCGAATGAGTCATTTATGCATATTTGTTAGGCCTGTACAGTTAACATTGATTTTCCCCCTAACATACCAAAGCAGACTCACTTTTCAAAATTGAAAGGCTGGGAACCATCATGTGATTGGAGACCCTGAAGGGCACCTTGTTTTACTTATCCTCCCATAGTTCCTAGAATAGTGCCTCCCATCTACCACATTCCAATGTACAAAATATTTCCATATGTTATTGTCATGTTTTTCTGAGTATCATTATTCAGTGAAGTAAGACAGATACGACTGCCCAGTTGTATAGACAAGGACATGGAGAAATGACTCGCCTGTCACCACTCAGTTTGTCTATGTTTGATGGATCCCTAAGAAGTGAAAGGAAATTGAAAAGAATAAAAGGATGCAGGAACATATTGATGTTCCATTAAATGATGTATTCCATCAGTCAAGGATTACCTTCAACTATGATAAAGCTTATTCTAGAACCCCAGCTAACCATATTTCTCTGTCATGCCATACGACCCAACATAGGTTGAGTGACCACACAGTGGCCATATTATATGGCAGAGATGTAAGATTCAAAAAGATTCTTGGACTGGATGACTGCTAAGAATCAAGAATTCTATTAGGAATTTTAGGAGCACTCTGTATTTTTATTTTTTATTTATTTTTTTATTTAAATTTTATTTTTTATATTCCCCATACAATTACAACCCCCTTATTTTGACCCCAAGCCCTCCTTTCCCCACCCCCCACCCACCATAGAGTGTGTCTGGTTCATAGTTGTTTGTCGATTTTGATATTTTCTTTCTTATAGTTATTCTTTTTCCTGGTCCCTTATTTAAGTTTTCTAGATTCCTGCTATGAGTGAGACCATCCAGTATTTTTCTTTTTCTTTCTGGCTTATTTCATGAGCTGTGTGGAGATTTCTTGACCTACTGAACATAGAGCTTCCATATGATCCAGCAATTCCACTCCTAGGTATTTACTCAAACGACACAGATACATCAATTCCAAAGAGCACCTGCATCCCTATGTTTATAGCAGCACTGTTTACAATAGCTAAGCTTTGGAAACAACCCAAATGCCCAATAATAGATGACTGGATCAAGAAGATGTGGTACATATACACCATGGAATATTACTCAGCATTCAAAAAAGATAAACACATGCAATTTGCAGCAACATGGATGGAGCTGGAAGGGATCACTCTGTATTTTTAAGTGGGGGTATGATCTAACCACCTACCACCAGACATAAAGAATTTCACAGAATTTTCAGTAACATAATACCAAGTTGAACAAATCTAAGGCAAAGGAACTCAACCTGCTCAGAATGTATTTGCTTCCAATTTATAGATGGGTAAGCAGACTTACAGATTTGTATGACTTCTTTGAATAGGTGTCAAAGCCATAAGCAGCCCAACAGCTGGGGAGACCTGGGCTGAAGTTCCAAGCTTGGGCCATTCTATGTCCCATCAGGTTTTGAGGTGAACAGCCTGACTGAGGAAGACCATGCTGGTCAATCTTGATAGATAGGCAATGCCTACTGACTAACCTATTTTTCCCTAAATGAGTGACAATCATTTTTCTCCCCCAACTTGAGCAGGTCAAAGTCTGCAAAGAGGGAGGGCATGGGCACTCACAATTGGGTCCTGAACACAATGGTCAGGAGCTGGAATGCCACGCTAGCTGCCAGGCCTAACCCAAGTCCCAGGACAACAGCAAAGATGAAGGTCATGATCCAAATTAGCTGTAAAAAGAAGGCAACACAAACATTACCATGTCCTCTGATTAAAATACAATGTCTTAGGTCCAGCAGTATGAGAAAGCATGAACTTCTAAGGCCAAAAGCAGAGGGTGGCTATATACAGGAGAAGGAGCCAGATGGAGAGGTCTTTTCTGCAGACCCAGATTCTGAGTCACAGAAACACAAGCAAATATTAAAAAAAAAAAAAAAAGACATTCCAAAAGGGTGTATCTATTTCCAATCTTATCCTCGAATCACTTATGTAGATGATTGAGCCTGTCATGGCAAAAATTCCAGAACTGGCTACTGTTCATTAAAATCAGCAAATTAATTGGTACAGTTTCATTAATCTTTTATAGGAATTTTCACATAGCAAAAGGAAAGGGTATTTAATTCCTCAACAATTATCAATCAGGAACGAAAGTCAACCAAGTATAGCTCATTACTCCTAACCTACTGCAAGCACCAGAAGATATGTGAGTAATCATTTTTTATGCCACAGACTTTGGCCCTGATAGATTTATGGACTCTGCTTCTCACAGCAAGGCATGTTGAGAGAGCAAGGGGAAAATGTATATTTTTGAAAGGAATGTTTTGAATTTAAGTTCTTAGAGTTTCCAAAAAGTAACATTTGATGTAATGAAAAACGGAAGCAAGGCAGACCCTAAAATTTAGAGCTTCTTTGGCATTTGGGATGAGCACAAGCATTTTAAGGAGATTTCAGCAATTTCTCTCCTAATATTTCACGGGACATTTCCTATTTGCAAGTAGCTCATCCTTTTCAATTAAAATTCCAGAGAATAATCATTAGAGTGACAGTTTAAAGAGGGTAATAAAACACACTAAGGTTATTTGACCACATACGAAAAAAAAAAATTCACTTAATTTACAATATAAATATGCACTTTCTTTACATCAGCACTAAGATGCCATCATGACATCTCTCTTGCAAATACCGTTGTCTCCACTTACACAGTCATACTTATCCTTTCTCCACAGTCTTCCTATTTCAGTGAACTGCATCAGCATTCCCTTTAAGTTTCCAAGCGCCAAAGCGGCTAGGACAGACTGTGAAAAACATAAACAACAAAAGTACTTTAAGATAATCACATAAACCATAAGGAAGCAAAGGTGAAGGTTGTGGATAAGTGGGCCCTTCAAAGGGCCTGAGTGCATATCAAAGGGCACACCCTCTTCCGGAGGCAGCCACGGAGACACGCCCCACCCAGTGCTTCCGCTGGTGACTTTGTCTTGATGGGGCTGAACTGCTCTTTGGTTATGCCAAAGATGACCTGATGGCACTTCTTACTTTCCCTTGTGCCAGAAAAAGGCAGATTTTAAGACCTATGACTGAAATTAATTATTCCTAGTCAGAGATGATCTGATGTGTCTATTTATTGGACATGGAAGATGGGTTACTTTTTGTTAAAAAAAAAAAAAAAAAAAGACAAACAATTCGAGAACTTAGGATCCTGGAGTCAGAATTCAGACCTTTGAGATGACTGGCTATCTGGTAAGAGGAAGCTGAAGATCACAGAAGGGTGAAGAAAAATTTGAGGCAGACTCTCTGGGACAGATGAACTATTCCATTCTTGTTTCTTGAAAATCCCCAGCACCTCCCGTGACAATAGCATGTAGACAGTGCTTAATAATTATTCCACGGGTGAGAGATGAGTTATCTCTCAGGCCAGGACTAACACTGAGGAACAGATTCTCTTCCAAGAAACCCTGGTGTGGATACCACTGCAGGGTGGATTCACTTAGAGTGCTCTGGGACACTCAGTTCTGTCACAGCAACACTTTGGGGTTCTTCACATGGCAAAATGACGACACTCGTCCTATAGGAATTATGATCATTACAGTGGAAAATGCTGAATAGCCAAGTGTGTTCTCGCCCTTATTTGAATTTTAACACAATGTTAGGAACATGTTCCCAATCTCCACTCCCAATTCAGACTGTTCCATTCTGAATGGACTATGGAATTTGTATACCGATTACTTTCATGCCATAAAAGCACAGTGTAAAAAGAATAAACAAAGTTTTACTGTTTTACTTTCCTATCTCAAAGATAGTTTCACCGATATGGGCATTTTTTACTTTTATATATTACATCAAGAATTTAATCTCTAGCCAGTTCACTTTACTCATTGTGAGGCTAGAGACGATTCTTTGGAAAATTAAAGATGATCTTAAGTGACTTTAAAAAGGAAATACTACCCAAATGAACAGTTTAAAAATGAGGACAACTGAATGAAGTCTGTGGTCTGGTCAATAGCACAGCACCAATGTCAGTGTACTGGTTTTGACAGTGCACTGGAGCTAAGACATCACCTCTGTGGCAGCTAGGCGAGAGGGTCATGGGGCCATGTACAACAAGCCACCTCCCTTGGGGGACTTTAGTATGAGAGATGTCAGGTGCCAACTGCAGAAGAGACATATAATTTTTCTATTCACTGAGCTGATTTCTCAGTTGGAAGAACAAACTGAAACAATTTGCAATGAAATACACAACAAAAAAATAAAGACAACTGAGCATCAAGAAACAAGGAAAAGGGGGGTAACTTTATCAGGAACCTGGGAGCCACATGCAGTTTTTAAAGAACTGAATACATGCAAGGTGTTTAGAACTCTGCTGATGCTTCATAAGCACTCAAGAGGCCAAGTGTACCCCTGGGAGGAAGCCAGCAGGGTAGAATTCTCTATGTGTAGCGAGGAGGATGTGTGTATTTATTTTTACTAATATACATTTCTTCTATTTCTTTGGTGGTGACCTCTTGACTTTTTATGTTATTCCTTTGGATATCAGTAGGCAAGAGTATGGAGAACACTTATTTTTGGCAAGTGGTAAAAATCTGCTTGAAGACAGATTTGACTAGGGAGGCTTTTGGGGATGACCACACTGAAGTCCAGAAATTTGGCACCGAATTCACATCCCAGTTCAGTTCCCAACAAACAAGGAAAAAGACCTAACCATCAACTGGGTGAGCCATGCCCTATGTAGTCAGAGTATAACAGAATGTTTGGAGAATAACAACAGCAACAATAATAGTAACAATGATGACTGACTGTCGTTTAAGCGTTTACCGTAAGCCACACGCTGGGCTAAGCAGTTCACCTGCACTATTTTGTTGAATTGTTGCAGCAACCCTGGGAGGTGGGCACGCTTATCCTTCTAATTTTACAAATGGAGAATTTGAAGTTCAAAGAGGTTAAGTAAAAAAGCACACAGATAAGAAGCGGCAGTCACTGCAAAATGACTTCAAACTCCGCAAAAAAAACAATGTATTGGGCCTCCCTGGTGGCGCAGCGGTTGAGCACTGGGTTGTGAAGCTGCCCACGGCCTCTGTGGCGCCGGTTCGATCCCCGGTTGCTCCCCGGCCACCAGAGGAGGGTCCCACATGGTGCGCAGACCTCTCCTGCCGCCCGCTGCTCCCCTCAGCAGTGTACTTCGGTCCTTCTGCCTGCTCTGCTCCCCGCTCTGGCTCTGGTGAATTCTCTCACCCTCCCGCGCTTCTTACTGTACCCAGTGCATGTATAAACAAAACAAACAAACAAGTAAATAAAAATCATAAATAAATAAAAATACATGCCTCTTAAAAAAAAAAAAAAAAAATGTTTAAAAAAAAAAAAAAACAATGTATTTACCACCTTCCGATTTCCTAGAGCTGCTGTTTTCCAGGCGCTTATGCTTTTTTCCCTTTAAATCTGGGTACTGGAGCAGTTTATAGAGCATTAAGCTAAATCCTCAAAAATTACATGTCAGGAGAGAGAGATCCATTTCAGGAGACGCAAGAGGGTGAAGGTGTGAGGTCTGTGTTTGTGGCTCACTCCCACCCTACAATCTGCCAGTTTTGGTCTTGGAGTCCGCGCCAACTCTGGGAGCTGTAGGGCGTATTCCTAAAAACAAGTTGTGTGGCTGGTAGCACCATTCTCTGAATTAGATAGAGGCCCTGATTCCCTCAACCTTTAAGAAAATCTTTACTTCAGTCCATCTCTATGGCAGTTGCTGTGCCAGAGAGTCCTCCTGTCTAAACATTAATTATATTTGGGCTATGAACAGGCCGAGAGTAGAGCAGATAAGGTGGTTTGGGTATCTGCATTCCTAACATTCATAAAATGTTGCCAAGGGAAAAATAAATATTTTTTGGCCCATAGAATACTGGCTAAGAGAAGTACTTAGGAGTCTGCAATGACCTCATTTTCCCTAGTTCAGTTTATGCTGAAAGAGTTTATGAACCCTGGTCCTTGATGAATCACTCAAGGACAGAGGAGTCTTACTTTTTGTAGTGGTTCCAGGAGAAATCCAATGGCTAGGATGACAATCAGCACTATGATAGCAGAGAGAAGCCCAGCAATCTGGGAAGATAAAAGCATTTTCATTACAAACTCACCTTTTTCCCTCCCCCCAACCCCCACCAGCTCAGGTTTTCCAGCTACTAATGCTAGGATGGGACCTTGTAGCATAGATACTAAAATACCTGAGTTTTGCCTCCTGTGCTCTCCTGAACTCCCGATCTGGAGAGGGCAGTACTCCCGGCAAATCCTTTGAATGAGCCAGTGAGTATGTTAGCCAGCCCCAAGGCTATTAATTCCTGAAGGGGGACCAAGGAGGAATAGTCCTTAGAAGAGGCACCATTGCCATTGATATATACAAAATATCATTTAAAGTTGCCTAATGAGACCCTGCACTTGTTGTATACTTACCTGATTGCCATCGATGGGATAATCGTATTTGAGAGAATAGACGCTGGCAACTGAATAGGCCACTGCAAAGCCCACTATCGCAATGCCAAAGCAATCTCCAATGGTGTCTTGGAAAGTCTGCACGTCAGGGGCGATAGGGAGCTGAAACCTGAAATTGAAATGACACAAGTCTGAATGTCACCAGTTTGCTTGTAAACCTTCAGTAGCATCCATGTGTTCTCAAAAATTCCAAATTCATGAGCAAGACCCTGATGTACCTCTTCCACCCTCTCCTGCAGTATTACCACCAGTAACCAGAATTTATGCACTGGCCATGCCAAGCTCTTTTGGTTTGTTTCTTGAAGGTGTCACCCTTTCTTTCACCTTGGCAGCATCTAATTTTCTGTTCCCTCTACTTAAAGCATTCCTCTCACCCACATCCTGCTTCCAGAAATTCTTCTCTGACCAACAAAGTTAGGGTTCGGGAGATTCTCTGCACTTCCCTGGCTCTTGATCCCCTCTCCCTTCCAGCAGTTCCTGCCCCTCCCCACTATCTACTCAGACACAGAACAGGAACAATACCGGTTTACTACACCTTGACCAGGTCTGATTACACTTTACAGTCTATATTAGGTGATCAATAATTGTTGGGGAATGGATGAATTGCAATGAATGAATGCAACCTTGGCTGACATGTCTCACTTTGGAGTGTGACTAGCAGGAAGTTAGCACCACTGAAAACTTTGGAATCTATTGTCTTATTGTTGGAAAGCTATGTTGTCTAAATTTGATACGAGATTGTAAATCCAGTTCGATGATAATGGAACATCTGATATGATTTTCCAGCTTAGCCACATTCTAATGTGCACATATCCCTATAAGCTTCATGCAAAATGTTTTAGATCCCCCTGGCATTGTTCCACTGGGCTGCAAAGCATCGCCCACAATGCCTCCAAGAGTTATCCAGATGAAGACTCTTTGAGCAAAAACAATTCAGAGACAAAGAGAGCAAGGAAATCTCCCCTCCATTGATAGCAATAACCTTTCATGGAAACCCCTTAGCAAACAAGTGGGCCCTGGACTCTGCCCTACACACCAAAGAAATGCTAGTGCCAACTGTGGCCCTGAGGGAGAGTGAGTTTCCATTGAAAGTGATAAAGTGTGAGAAAAGCTTCCAACTCACAGAGGATAATTCTATACATATGCTTTATGAATTTACAGCAGCTAAATAATATTACTAATTGTATTATCCCAAACTCAAACTCAAGTCCCTCAAATCAAACATCAACTTACTAAAATGCTTAGTTCTTTGAACAATGGTTTCTGACCTAAAACTAGAAGTGGGTTAATGAGCCTACTTAATTCTTCTAATTACTGTTCATGTTAATAATTTTCCAAAACTAATTCTGAAGTATTATTATCTTATAGGAAGGCATCATAAATCAGGCCTCCCATCTTTTTTGCAGGGGTAAGAATTAATTTGATTTTGTTTTGAATTTGACCATGAGGAAGGACCTTTTGAACTGTCAAGAACTTGGCTCCAGTCTCCTCAAAGAAAACACTCCCTATTGTTTATAGTAACTTGTGGACAAAGAAATGTGCTTTCATTTGTTTTTTCTTTTATAAGAAGCAGGTTTAATTTGCCAATTTTTCTGCCTTTACTGGTTCACTTTTACTTCCATGTGTGACTCCCTGCTCATCTGGTTTGTAAGTTCTTCCACAAGGAGAAACTTGCTGGTATTAGGAACTTCAGGTCCTTATATCCTTTGTGGGTCCTTCTAGGGGCAGAGCAGCAAGGCCTTCATGGGTACCAGAGGCAGGGATGTTTCTGATTGGTGCTGGTGCAATTATTCATCTTGCATTCTTCCGTAACTACTGCTTTCTCTAATCAGCACTTGGTGGTGCCATCCTAAAGACATGCTTACCCACTTGGCATCTCTCCAACCACGGTCACGTTAAACTTCTCTTTGAAATTAAAGCCATAGGAAACACCTGTTGCGATCACAGTCTGCAAAGTTGCAAAGTGTTGAAGTTAGGAATGTGAGAGAAAATTAAGAGTCTTGCTTCGAAAAAAAGAAAAAAACACCATTGCCAATACCACCCCTTGCCCGGACATGGGAATCACAAACCCACTTTGCAACTTTTTTTATTAAGTCTGGATGCAATTGTAACATGCCACCAACAGCGAGAACCACAGCTCTCATTAAATGGCTTGATCACCCCAAGCTCAGAGGTCTTGCTCTCTGTTCTTTTCTTGTCTTACATAGAAAGAATAAACTCAACATCATAGGAGGAAGCTATTACATTCTGAATGAAAAGAAAACTATACTAAATATTATGAACAGAAACTTCAGAGATGGCATCTGCCCCCTAAAATCTCCTGATTTACACATGGTGAAGGGGTTTCAACATAAATTCACTAGACTAATAAATTATGAAAGAAAGTCCCAGGATGATCATTTACCATGATGAGTTCAATTGGAATAGGCACTGGAAGTTTTGCTTTGTAGCGCTGATTTATTTCTTTAACCACAAATACAACCAATAGGATAATCAAGGATGTCACAAGGTCCGCGATATTAGTATTTTGTATTTGTGTGAATATGGAAATTAGTACCTAAAATTACAAAAACAAAAGATACCTAAGTCCTATATGAATGGCTCATTTGAATATAACACAATTACTTTTCAAAGAGATAAAAATAAACATTGATGCAAAAGTACTGACGTCAACTGACAGTTCTGCTTTGCTGCCACCAACCAAGAAAGTACAATCGCAGAGACCAACATGCAGACTTGAGAGGGTCAGTGAATACAGTGTAGTCACCAGCCCAGTTTAGGGGTGCTTTTGGTATTTTTGCTGAGTAATTTTGGTATCTTTGGCTATTGTCAATTTTTTTTAAGACACTTTTCACAACCAGTCTCTTCTACTCTTAAGTGTCTTTGGCAATCCTGTTAAGTTTCACAATTATCCCTATTGCTTTGTCCAGGGAATTACCTTAGATCCCTGATAGTTTTGCTTAGCCTGTATCTCTGGCTTTAATTCCTGGTCTTCTTTAGGTAGGTTAAAACCTCTCACATTTCTTAGTTAACTAAGTGACCATTTAATTTTGGAAGTTTCCTGGTAACTGAACGGTGCATGATCTTAATTCCTGAAGCCAGTTGGGTTTCAGATATGTGGGACCAGGATAGCTCAAGCAGGCCCAAACTAGATCTCAAATATTTCTACAGCATTCTACTTTTGAAGTAGCTCTAGAAGGGAGTGAGAAAGTATCAGTTCCAATTTGAAGCAAGTTTTGTTTTTTTCCAGACCCTCCTCTAGGGGCCTAAAGAACCACAGTCCTATTTGCCTATTAGCCACTTTCCTTTTGCTTTATAAGCTGGGAGGCACAAAGGACTCAGAAGAACTTTAGTTCTAAAAGAACAGGATCCATTTTTCAGAAAGTATAAAAGCATTACAACTCAATTAACAAATATCTTTCAAACAAAGATTTTGAGAAAAATGTTAAAACTTGGGACAAAATATGAAAGCTTGTAATAATGCACGTAAATATTTTTTCGTTAAAAAATACTCGATTCAGGACCTCCTTGGTGGCAGAAGGGGTTAAGCACTGCACTATGAAGCAATCCACAGCCTCTGCAGCACGAGTTCCATCCCCGGCCATCCAGGGAGCAACCCACATGGCACAGCAGACCTCTCCTGACTCGTCCGCTGCTCACCTCAGCAGTGTGTACTTCGGTCAGTCTGCCTGTTCTGCTCCCCACTGTCTCTGGTGAAGCCTCTCAGCACACCCCCACCCCGCATCTCTGACCTGTACCCCAGCTCTTGTATAAAATAAATAAATAAATCTTAAAAAATAAATAAATAAAAAATACTCGATTCAAATCTAAGAGAAGTAGTATGTAATATCTGTTGTTCACATTAACTGTGTGTTAGATGTGGTTGATTTTCATTGTTTTTTTTTGCCACTAAATTTTTGTTAATGTTAATCAATTTCACAACCATTAATTTCTTGGAAATTGCAGGTAAACCCCTGACAAAGGCATTAAATGAAACATGATAATGAATTTTATGTATTTCAATATTTTTTATTGAAAAAGAACACTTACTTTGAAAAGTGAAAATGGATCTGAGTGTGGAGGGACTGGCAGTTGGAGCATAAATTTAAGCTGGGAAACTAAAACATGCACAGCAGCAGCTGTGGTAAAGCCGCTGATTAAGGAATCAGATAGATAAATCACCACAAATCCAAACTGTAGCGCTCCCATGATCAGCTGGAAAGAGAAGGACAAAGAAAGGCCTTTGTTATTGCAGATTAGGAGAACACCTTAGCAAATAAAAGGGCCAACAATTGAAATGATTAAATGAAATATAAAAGTTCAGCCTGTATGTAATTATCCTAGAGAAGCAAGCGCATTGCCCCCTGGAACACCTCTCCTCTCCTACCCCCCAACAGTGGGAAATTGCAAGGAGTTTAAAGAGTATGTGAGTCTAGTACAGCCCCAAGGAGTAATGGGCTTCCCCACCCCTCCTTTAAGGTGCAGTATCTTTAGAAGACTCACCCACAGACTTTCATAGCAGTCTTATCTAGCATGAGCCCCCATAAATTTTCAGGTTACACTTTCTAGCTACTGCCATATACTTGGGTGAGTGCATCCATTCCTAGTTCCTCAAACAAGTGCTTGACTTTCATTTCAAAAATACATAACTGAGTAGTGCACATCTGAAATGTTTGGTTTTAACTGGGGGTAAATGTTTCAATTCCCCCAAAGTGTCAGTATATTACAATACAGTGAATAGGTGGATTCTCCCTCCTTTGGATACCTGCCCTGTCTTTCCACTCACATCACCATAATGCAACCAGAGAGATGGACATTGCAAAGCACTAAGGTTAGATAAATATAAGAAGGAACTGATCATGCTGTTTGTCACTAGGACTCACTTCTTAAAATCATGTGTACACTGATCTTTTTTCCCTTAAAGAATGGTCTTAACCAATAATATCACTAACCATAAACTTAGACAACATCTTGAGTCCATGACATTTTCCACTATTCAGCAATGGGGTCAAGGATGTGACTTGAGAGTAAGACTGTAGGCCCCTCCAGAATCTTCTTCAACTCTCCCCATATCTTTGCTATGGAATGTTGAAAGTGTTAAGACCAGGGGCCTCCCTGTTGGCGCAAGGGGTAAAGCACTGCACTATGAAGCAATCACAGCCTCTGCAGCACAAGTTCGAACTCCGGCCGACCAGGGAGCAACCCACATAGTGCAGCACCCCTCTCCTGCCTCACCTGCTGCTCTCCTCAGTAGTGTATTTCAGTCATTCTGCCTGTTCTGTTTCCCACTCTGTCTCTGGTGGATCCTTTCACCTCCTGCATCTCTGGCCTGTACCCCAGCTCTTGTATGCATAAATAAATAAATCTTTTAAAAAAAAGGTGTTAAGACCAAATCCCTTCCAACTAAATCACAATCCCTTGGAACTAGAAAGAAAAAAGTTTCAAAGCCTCTGGTGTCTCTATTACTTGTATATTGTTAGGTTTAATGCTGACCTCAGTTCTAGGTGTTTTATTGAATAAAGAATATCACTCCTCATAACATGTGACTCCCTGTTCCAATTTTTCTGTAAGATGCACATTCACTTGTCTTTGTAAGGTAGACTACCCCTTCACTTCTGATTAAGGTGAATTATCTTTCTTGAATTATTTCCCATGGGTCATTGAAGGAGAGATGCAAACTAAAGGAAAGAGTTGGGGCAGGTGGCAGGAAGAAGAAAAATCAGAAAGATGTGTACCAGTCAGGACAAGTAGGTTGGAGAAGACAGAATGCACGAGAAAGTACTCACCTGGATGATTCCAGAAAGGACTGTCACTGCTGCAGCCACCATCACCTTCCTCTCATCTAGTAGCGAAGTATTATTATTCATTGAGCTAAGAGAGTTCAAAATAGTTGTACTTTCCTCTGGGACTAATCTGGAAACTACTGCTCCAACCATCATACTCAGAACTGGAAATGGACCTAATTAACAGAGGGTGAACTGTAGTCAGTATTTGTCTCCCTAAATCATAACTGTCTTTCAACCATAATGCAGCATATAAAAAATCGTATCTGCAGCTTTGTCCTCCCTCTCCAAGTCCCAGTCCTAATTCTTACAAGAAACCATTTCTTCTCCTCAGTTATGCATTATTTGCAACTGATACAATGTACGGCTAATAAAGAAAAAGCAACATTAGGATTAATTTGTCCTGTAATTCACTTACCCACAGATATGTGTCTAGAAGTGCCCAGGAAAAAGTAGACTATTACTGGAAAAAAAGCTGCATACAAGCCATAGCTTGGGGGGACATTGACCAGCAGGGCAAATGCTAAGCCTGTAAATATATAAACATCAGGGTTCTTATTTTGTGCAAAAGGAAACAGAAAAGTTCACATTAACGTCCTCAAATATTTAAGATTCAACCTCAAAAATAAGTAACTTTATTAACTCAGATTTATCAAAGATGTAAAGACAAGAGCCAAAATTCTTAGAGGAGAGCATAGGTGTAAATCTTCATAATCTTGGATTAAGCACTGGTTTCTCAAAAATGATATCTACATCATAAGCAACAAAATTAAAAACAGAAAAACTAAGTTTCATAATTTTTTTTTTAAAAATGTATGCTTTAAAAGATACCAGCAAGAAAACTGAAGTGACACCCCACAGAATGGGGGAAATTATTTGCACATCTTACATGGCTAAGGGTCTAGTATCCGGAATATGTGACTAACACTTGCAACTCAGCAACAAGAAAAAGTAACCTAATTTTCAAATGTGCAAAGACTTAAACTAGACAGTTCTCCAAAAACATATAAATGACAAGTAAAATTCCATGGAAAGATACCTAACATCACGTCATTAGAGAAATAGAAATCAAAACTACAATGAGATAGCATTTCAAATTTGAACTTTAATTTAAAATTAAAAAGTCAGACAATAACAAGTGCTCCAAACATGTAAACAGATCTGAACCCTCTTACGCTGGGCTCATGGCCCAGTGATGTACTCCAGGTACATACCCAAGAGAATGGAAATGTATGGACCCTCAAAAACTTACATGCCAGTGTTCATAGAAGCATTACTCAAAATAGTCACAAAGTAGAAACAACCCAAAGTCCATCATGTGATGGATGGAGAAACAGAATGTGGCATATCCATACAATAAAATAGAATTTATCCACAAATAGCAATAAAGTATGTGTACAAGGGGCCTCCCCGGTGGCGCAGCGGTTGAGCGCTGGGTTGCGAAGCTGCCAGTAGCCTCTGCAGCGCGGGCAGATCCCTGGCCCTTGGGCACAGGTCGCAAATGGCGCTCAGACCTCTCCTGCCGCCCGCTGCTCCCTTCAGCAGTGTACTTCGTCACTCTGCCTGCTCTGCTTTCCCCTCTGGCTCTGGTGAATTCTCTCACCCTCCGGCGCTTCTGACTGTACCCAGTGCTAGTACAAATAAATAAATAAATAAATCTTTAAAAAAAAATAAAGTGTATACAAGCTATAATGTGGATGGATCTTGAAAACATGGTGAGTGAAAGAAAGCAGACAAAAAAGACCACAAATTTTATGAGTCTGCTGATAATATCCAGAAAGGACAAATCCACTAAGATAGAAAAGTTATGGGGATTGAAGTGGGTGGATCGAAGTGATTGGTTATAGGCAAGAAATTTTTTTTTGGCGGGGGGATGGTGGAGAAAATATTTTGGAATTAGATAGTGGTGACAGTGACAACCTTGTGAATACACACATACAAACCCCACTGAATTGTGCATTTCCAAAGGGTAACTTTCATGATACACGAATTACATCTTAAAATAAGTTACCTTGCAGTACAGCCACCAGCCCAGTACTGATTCCAGAAACGATGTCACTGAGTAGCCATTCCTTTAGCCGATATGCTGGTAACCAAGATGCTATGGGGAACAAGGAAAGGGCAATTCTCTTCACCTTTTGTGCCGAACAGCTGAAAATATTGAAAGCAACAAATTAGTTAATAATATCAAATTTTAAGTTTACTAATTGTAGGTGAAAAACTGGTAAGGATGATCATATATTAAAGAATGAACTTGTACTTTCACCAGCTTTCCCTTTAATATCCAAGCTCTTACCCCTGGCCACCACCAAGGATTTGGTTTTTTTTTTTTTTTTTGTAAGAAAAATGCCATTTTTCTTTAGCTGCAACAGAGTTTGTCACCCTCAGCTTAAATGTACTATATTTCAATCTAGAATTTCCCTCTATTCTTATCTATTCGTCCCAGAGATGGGAGGTACTTGTTAATAGCTGAGATGATGTTCAATTTTGAGATGACTTTTCCAACTCTGGCAGGGAGTAAGAAGTTTGGAAACCAGAGATGAAAAGACTCTGAAGGCTGTGGGATAGAGCCAGAAAGGAGAGATTGAAAGCTTGAAAATACAGGAGAAAGTGCTTCATTTATTCTTAATGACAGCACTGTAAAAAATACTTACCTACAGTACTCTCTGAGGTGATCCAGAATTGTCTTATGATGTCGCTGTTTCTTTTTATATTCTTCCCCGAAAGCATTTACAGAATATACTGGCCTGGCCTCAATGTACTGATTCCCAATGGGTTCGATCATTTTGCCTTTTTTCGCTGCTGTGGTAAGTGGAAGACCTTTGGAACTATGTGGCAAACTCTTCTTCTTGCCTTTAGCAGGTTAAAATGCCTGAAACCAAACAGAGCTTGCTTCTTAAATAACTCGGAGATAATGTGATGCAATTTACAGATGAGTGAGCTCTGAACTGAATGTTACCACCTTTTGAGATCAAAAGAGACAGGATTAAGGGACCTAGATTGTGTTTTGTGACAGTAACATCACTTTTTACTCCGCTGAACTGGACACAACTCATTTGGGTAAGTAAACAAGGGCTTATATTTATTTTGAAAGGTCACCAAAAAACAATAAAAATTGACTCAGTTTACTGAGCAGTGAGTCATCTGTTGCTTTTTTTTTTTACTTGTAAAGTAAGATCTCATCCAGAAAAGGAATTTACTTAATTTTTTTTCCCACTAGAAACATTTCCAAAGTTAAGGCTTCGGAGTGCTGGGGCAGATTAGGTTTAAAGTCTTTTATTGTCCCTAACTCCAGTCAAGGATGTTCCATGTGAATCATCAGGATGTATATAATACCCTACATTTTAAATTTGTGATAATCAAAGGTAATACCCATTTAAGTAATTTTCCTATTGTTTTTGGAGTTAAAAGGGAGATTTAAAATTTATAGTTGAGAATTTGGCACAAAAAGCTATTTGGTTACTTAGTTCACTAGTGATAAGATCTTAAGAATTGCGGCAAATCACTTAACCTCTCTGAGTCCCATTTATGTCAGTGGAATAGTACTATTAAATGAGAATACTTTTGAAGCATCCAGCACTGAACCTACATTATAAACATTCACTAAATGGTAGTTATTCTAACATCAGCATCACCTGCACAAGATGTTTGAAGTTTTTCATTCTTATCTCAATCTTGTTTGTTTTATACTTGAAAGATCACTTTTGCAAAAATCTTTTAATGCATATTACCTACTTAGCCCTCATAATTCTTTGAGGCACTTACTATTTTTGTTTTTGTCCTCTTCTTGCAAATGAGAAAATAACAGCACGCCCCATCCCTTCCTCCCAAATGTCTAAGTATTTTTCTCAGGTTATACAGGCAGCATAATGTCAAAAAGGCAACTTCTGTTTTCAGATTTCTATTTCTTCTACAAGACACAGATTTCTATTGTCTAATGTGAACATAATTGAAGAACATTCCAACTTCTAGCATCTTTCCCCCCTAATCTTGGCTCTATATTACACTCATAATGTCCAGAATTTTGTTCCCTGAGCTCAATTGTGGTTATCAATTGAATTAATTTGCACTAGATTGCACATTGTTACATGGTGCTCAAGAGATTCTCAGCATGTTTGTGGGGCTCATATTATAACTGGGAATTAGAAACTGGCCTCAACTTCTGGACCCACCTGGCTACCCATTCCTCTCCTCCACCCTGTACTCTAGCTTCTTTTAATGTCCTCCCTATGAGCTTTTTTGATCAAGATAATGCCTATGCACTACCCCTGCTTGACCTCCAGAATTTGAGTCCCTTTGAGGTTTGTTAGGACTGTTAACCTCTTTCACCATTCTTTCTGAGCTGCTTGCCTTCCTCCCCATCTCTCTATCTTCCGCTGTTCCACCCCCAGTTCCAGGTGTCCTATTCCTCTAACGCTATAATGCCTCCTGTTAGAAAGAACTTGCACGGGCAGAGAAGCTGGCTTAGTCTTGCTGTGCATAGCATGGAATTTTTTTTGAAGATTTTATTTATTTATGCTTACAAGAACTGGGACGTAAGCCAGAGGGAGATGTATGAGAGGATTCACCAGAGACAGAGTGGGGAGCAGAACAGGCAGATTGACTGAAATACACTGCTGAGGGGAGCAATGGGTGAGACAGGCGAGGTCTACCAAACTATGTGAGCTATGTGAGTCAGCTCCTGGCTGGGGATCTAATTGGAGCTGTAGTGGCTGCTGATAGCGTCATAGTGCTGAGACTTAACCCCTTGTGCCACCACAGAGGCCCATAGAGCATGGATTTTTGTCCTTATTTTTCAGTTACCAACAATGTGTTGGAGTATCACACTTGTGATCTAATCCATGTCAATGACTCTTGACACCTTTTGCAAAGGTTGTCTGGATTGTCTTTCAAGAACAGCCTTAATCCTGTGAGGTATCCATTCTAGCCAATCTTAGCATAAAGAAGATCCTAGCACTGTGCATTTTGTTTCTGTCAGATTCAGTGGACAGAAAAGAAGAGATTACATTATTTTGATGCTTTAATGATATTTTCACCAAGTTGTCCATTAATTCTCTTCCTAAAGTATAGACCCTGGGTGCACTGTTCTTCCTTCTGCTGCTGTATAATATGCTTTCTTCCTGCTAAGTCATGTCTAATTTTTTTTTTTGGCCCATGACAATGATGGCAGAAATAACTTCATTGCTATTAAGCTTCCCTCCCTGAAGAGGACCATGACTGACTCTTTGGTGAGCTCTATTACACATCCAGCTGGATCAAGGACTAGAAACCTGGCCATCCTGCCACAGACTGGAAATGCCCTCTCCTTGTAACACCCCCACCAAAAAAATAAATAAATAAAAATTAAAATACCCCAATAGGAGTGTTCAAGGGCAGGAATCAGGAAGTTTAAGAAATCTTTCCAGAATTTAGGGAGAGAACCTGAGTTCTTGTTTTCTGTGCCTGCTGCCATCCCTGCTCTCAAAACTGCTGCTTCATGTTCCAGGTGTAACAAATGACATGAACCACTTAGTCAATCAAGCTGGGGCCTCTGACGAGAGAAGCTCTCGGTGGTCATAAATTAATGTCATCTCCATTTCATTTCTGGGATTCTTGAGAATGACCTACTTTATTTAGGAATTTCAGAGTGGTTTTCTTAAGTTTTTATTTTTGTTTCCTCCAGATATTCTTGGTAAAAATTTTCTTGGTTCCTACAATCAAAATTTCAGTTTCGAAGATTACACCCATGTTAACAGAAGCCTTTTTCATCTTCTGACTTAGCTTCCTGACTCAAATTTTTCTGAGTTCCTTAGCGTGCCAGTGACATTTGGGGGAGTGAAATACATTGTCAGGGGTCTTTCATTCTTATAATTTTAGAATGCTAAGCTTTGTGTACATGTCTACTTTTTACTTCCTTTCCTGTAATGTACTATTTTAAATGTTTGGCCTGTATGATATCAATAGATCTATATATTTAAAACTTAAAGGAACACATACACATACAGTACATCCATATATACATACATGGTATATATAAGATTTAAAAGACTATATACTATATCTTTTTCTATCTATACATATTTACACACATACATGCATATATATGTACATATATACATCTACATACTCTGGTCCTAGAGATTAATCATACACATTTGCTTTTCTCTGCCTTTTTTTTTTTTTTTCTATTTTCTGAGCAGAAATTCAATCCCGAGATTAATTTCTGATGTTTAGTATTTTTCAGCTTAACTATCCTGGTTTATTTTTTAAAAAGATTTATTTATTTATGCATACAGGAGCTGGGGCACAGGCCAGAGATGCGAGGGGGTGAGAGGATCTACCAAAGATAGAGTAGGGAACAGAACAAGCAGATTGACTGAAATACACTGCTGAGGGGAGCAGCAGGCAAGAGAGGAGAGGTCTGCTGCGCCATGTGGGTAGCTCCCTGGACTGCGATCTAACTCGTGCTGCAGAGTCTGCGGATTGCTTCATAGTTCAGTGCTTAAGCCCTTGCGCCACCAGGGAGGCCCCTAACTATCCTGGTTTATTATTATTTCTAAGAATTAGGTGTGGTCATGCTTATACCCTTTTCTATCCCCTACCCCAAGTTCCACCCATCTTCACACTCAATCCAAGCATTCAGTACCACCTACTGGCCCCCAGTTATCTGGGTGGCCCCACACTTCCTACCCCACTCCACTGAGAGGTATCCTGCAGCCCTGACCTTTGCCCTCTTCCACATTGATCTGTTGGGTATTCTAGTCTTTCCAGGACCTGCCCTTTCTGCTGGGAAACCACTAATTTGAACCAAGGTGTTCAGAAGCAAAGCAATTATTCTTCCTTAATTAGTGGTAATTGGAAACCAGGCGGCAAGAGGGCGTGGCCAACGTTTGAGGCCCCCCTCCAGGCGCGGGATTTATTTCCGCTCCTCTTCTGCGGTGGGCTGGAGTTCTCGAAGACACCAACTCTCAGTGGGATCTCAAAGATCCCTGTGCCAGGGCGTGGAAGGCCGGAGGTAAGCCAACTCTTCTTTCCTAAATCCGTCTCCGGACAATGGGAAATACCTCAGGGCTTTGATAACTATGCCGGGGGAGGGAGGGGGTGGGAGAGCCAGTGGACTAATTGCTCCAGTGAGCACCTTCAAAAGGACCCCAACAGTTGCTTGTTGATTTTGATTATTACTTTGTATAGATTAGTCTTTTTCCTGGTCTCTTATTTAGGTTTTCTATAAACCAGAGACACACTGCGGGGTGGGGGGGAGGGAGGTGCAGGGAGAGGAAGAACTAGAGTCAAAATAAGGGGGGGTGCAATTGTATGGGGAATATAACCAAAATGAAAATGCAAGGATGAAAAATGATGTAAGAATTATATAAAATAATAATAAAAAAGGACCCCAATAGCAGCTCAAGAGAAACCAGAACTCAAAGGCACATAAAAACCCCACTTTCTGGTTGGCGTCAAGCTGCATGGAAGCAGAGAGATGATTGCGTCAGAAGCAGAGCAGGCCTGAGTGGTGATTAGGACTTACCTGGGCGGGAGTGGGCGAGGGTGGGGGAGATAGGAGGGTATCAGTGCTGATGTTAAAGACTAGAGGTCAGAGGGGTCGGAGGCTGGGCAGGCAATAATTTCTAGTTAAATGCTGTCATTCCTGTGTGCTTAGAAAGGTTTTGAAATACAGCAGGGTAGTTAATGAATGAAACTATGTTATAAAGGTAAACCTGAATGGAGCAGCTATTTCCTTGGAGGAAAGAAATAGGTTTATTGTCATTTAGAGCATGGAAACCACGGTTTTCCCTAGCTTGTAGTGATGTCCTTTGAAAGTTATCAGTGTCTCACAAACCCTTCTAGATTGTGTTTTTGAAGCCAGAGTCTTTCTCT